GACATTTTATTCGCTAGAACAAAGCGAAACTGATTACTTCGACACAGACAGATAGAAATTGCACCACGTCAGGTCAAATAAAATGAGACGAAACAAAATAAGCGGTCTGTCACTTTTTGTTTTGGGTGTTTTCGGTTTTTGGGGTTTCCGCAGTTTTGTTTTGCCCGCCGAGATAATGTCACTCTGTCAAATTGGTCAGTTTTCCATCTACGCCATTTTTTCCTCTGCTATTTTCTTGCTCTTGCATCATCCTCCCACCGTAGAAGATGAACATCGGTGAGCAACAAGATCGAAGGTCCAAAAGTACGGCAGCCTGAACACGGCAGACACACAGTCACTGGCTTCCACTGACATCTGAAGTCAAAGGATGTGCATTAGCATACCTTTGAAAAAAACAACTCACGCTCTCTCTTCTTTGAAAGACAGGTCCACACACACACACACACACACACACACACCTGCGCTGCTCGGTAAGACAGGGCACGTCCCTCCTTTGCTTCTGAATGGCCTCATCTGTGCCCTGCTCAAGGCTGGCAAGGCCTGCAGCATCTGTTTGACTGCAGGCCATGCCATAAGGTGCCGGGACTCCAAGGATCCTCTGCGCTCCCTCAAGAACGCTGCTCCACGACCCCGCCAACCCCACCCGCCAACCCCACCCTCTTTTCAGCCGCGTCGCGCAGCCCCCCCCCCGTCAGACGTTCGCCCTTAAGCCAAAACCACCGCAGACGGCGTTACGTCATTCGACCCATTTTGCGTCACGCGAATCCCCGAATTAACTATTAGCTCTCCCCCATCTTTCTCACCCGCCACTCAGGAGTTTAAAGTTTCACCCTTGGCCTAAGCTCACCGTCCTCCCTTCGTTTCCATCTAATGACCCTCTGTGAGGATGTGTGAGATATCATCTACCTCCCTAATCTGCTCCCCCCCCCCCATCTTTCTCTCTGAGGTTGAGAGATGTCGTCTGGCTGAGACGATGTGTGTGTGTGTGTGCGCGCGTGTGTGTGTGTGGTAACAGAGTGTGTCTCCTCGCCAGGAAGACTTGCGCCTCGGAGGAACAGACAGATTAGCGGGTGGATTCTAGCTCCCAGCGCGGCATTCAAGCCGCATTCCCAGGAACAGCCTGTAACAAGCGTCGCATTCCCCTCCAGGTCACCCGCGGCAACGCAACCTCCCCAGACACGAGCAGAGGAGAAAGTAATCTGATGGCACTCTCTCTCTCTCTCTGTTATTTCTCCTTATCTCTCCTTTCTTTGCAGGGCAGTCAAACGCCTTTGCCCCCCAGCTGCATCCGTGATGTGTTTCTGCATGTGTGTGTGTGTGTGTGTGTGTGTGTGTGTGTGTGACACCAACAGGAGAGCGTGCATGCAGTTAGTGAGAGGGGAGGAAAAAGGCCTAGAAAGGGGACACAGTCAGGGGGGAGAGGAGAGGGGAGGATGGTCTCATGAGAGAGAGAGAGAGAGGGGGTGGGGGGGGGGGAGAAGGGGGGGGGGGGGGGGGGTGTCTGTGGATACAAGCGGTGTGGAGCCACAGAAGGTGTGTGCAGCCGAGCGCGAGGAAGCGGTTGAGACAGCGCAGGCCCGCTGAGATGGCCGTGGAGCTAATGCTACGTTAGTGAGCTGCTAACGGCGTGCCTGGGCCCCGGCGCACCGCCCTTCCACACGCATCACAGAGGCCCACAGAGCAACGAAAGGAGACACCTCAAGTCTGCGGGGGAGGTATTGCTAGTGACACGTCTTTTGGGCACCGATTGGGACTCCTTTACCATCTGAGCCTCTCGCGTCGTGACTCACGAGCAGCCGCGTGGGTGATTTTAAAAAGAGACCCCTAGATCCAATGTGGCGGGGAAGGTGAGGTAGAACAACGCTCAGAGCAGGGGGAATAACCGGCACTTCAAACCGGGGTATGCGGAGGACGATTTATGCAACCAGGCACCTGTGGTAATTTGACTTTAAGGGAGTTGAGACATCTCTCCGTGTTATCAGGCATTTAGGGTGTACTTAGTCTGTCTCCCTCTCTCTCTCGACTGTTCTCCTTAACTCTAAAGAAATTGTCATTTTTGTACTTAAAAATAACAGTTCATGTAAAATTGCTGTTGATTTTGTTGTGTTTTAATCCACTGGTGAGTGAAAACAGTGAACCTGAGGTGTAATTGGATAGCTCAGATCGCAGAACTTTCCATTAAAAGGCAGGTTTCATGCCTTAATTTAAGTGAATTTTGTCAGTCACTTAAATTAAATAAAGATTAAGACATGAAGGATACACGAACAGGATAAAAAAAACAATCTGCCTATTATAGATTTCCGTACAGTAATGGACAGGGCTATGCTCCTGTACAAGGGTCAAAGGTCACTTCTTTAGGGTGGCTTCATATGACCTCACAGGCTCATGTTTCCATTGGCCTCTCAGGGACCTCATCGCATCGTCGTGAAGCGGGAAAGCGAAGTCACAAGGATGTGAGTCCCATGAAGACCCGTGAACCCGAAAGGCCAATTCGGGGATTATTCTAAGGTTGTATTTGGAGACGCTGATATTTACACAATCTGATTCTGTGTCTTTCACAGTTACCTCATCACGACTGCAGAGGAGGTCAGAGGCAGAGCTGCTTTGTACTATCTGATCAGATTATGAGGCAGCCCAAGGCACAAGGTCAGTGACGAGTAGTATTACAGCAGTTAATTAAAGGCCAACCAGGATTTTATTAGACCTTTATTTCATCTGGAACAGGCAACTTTTGCAAAGATATGGCATGAATTCCTCTTTCAACCATTTTAACTGCGTGTTTATTTGAATGACTTACTGATTTACTGCAGGTAGGATAGAAGGTTTAGAGGAATATTCTATTGCGTGATCGGATGTGGTGAGCCCTTTCTGAACGTCTGTGGAATTTATACAATTACAACAATTTATACAATTTACTCTGAAAATACACATTTAATCCTGTGCTCTTCAGTTGACGATATTGTGCGGCCACTGGACAACATATATGCAATATAGAAGCAATGGGCTGAGAGTAAATTAAATGTGTGTTTAGAATTTCAAATAAAATAACAAGTAAGGAAAGTGCAATACGCAGGTGTTTTTTTCCATCCGAAAGACTTTGAGGCAGAACATCTTGTATTACGCAGTCGGTAACTTAACAAATAGAATTAAACAAAACTATAAATCCATCAACATTCACATTTTTGTTACACTTTCACCTGTATGACAACACCGTTCACCTGCCCTTCACCACATGCCGCTCCTAATGCTGTTGACCATGTAGCTTGTGGGCCTGTGCAGTGTGTGTGTGTGTGTGTGTGTGTGTGTGTGTGTGTGTGTGCACGGTGGATAATGAAGAGGCATTGTGTCTCCTTACAATGACATCATGGCTCTGACAGAAGCTGGAGAAGATGCCCGGGGTCTCGGAGCGGAACTCTTCAGCCCAAGCGCAAGTGTGTACGTGTGAGTGTGCGTGTCCGTCCCCCGGGCCGCGGGAGTCCTCCTGGGCTTTGTGAGAAAAAAAAAAAAAAACGAAAGTCAAACCGTCAAAGACAAAAAAACAAAACCTGACCACCAGCAATATGAGGCAGAGGCCATTTGGCTGCTGCCCGCTCGCCGGTGCCTCGGCGGGGGAGCTACTGGTGCGAGGGCGCTTTAGAAGAGAGAGAGAGAGAGAGAGGTCTAGGAAGTTTAAGGGTTCAGAGGTCAATTCAGCCTGTAGGCCCGGGTGACGCTTTCAGGGTTCTGGGCCTGCACTGCATCATGGGAGTCCTTGGCGTGTCCTCTTTATCTTGCCTGTGCCCAGATAGATCCTTCCCGGTGGCTTTTTACACACACAAAAGGAACGGACGCACACACACATATATATACAACACATGCACCTTGATTCTTTGCGTGTGGAGGCGAGTAGACAGTAAGTACAAACAGTAAGTGCGTCATGTTGCACTGAACCACATCGCGCAGGAACGTACATTTTAGGCAGGTTTTTTACGTTAGCTTGAACCCACGTCAGACGAATCTGAACCCTAACTGGAAGAACTTCAGCAGCCGTGTGAAATATGCTGGGAGGGAATTGAGAGTCTATCGCGGAGGCGGTTCGGAGGCGCATCTCCCGTCCGCGCTGAGTAAGATTGACAGGTTTCTTCTCTGAGCCGGAGTGAACCTCTCGCCCTGAGTGTCTGTGTAATGAGAGACAGGTCTCGTGACAAGCACTAATCAGCCCAGACTCTCGACCCCGCGGCAGTGAGGCCGAGACGGGGGGTGGGGTTAGGGGAGGGTACGCCGAGACGCCGCCAACAACTCCCGCGACCTGTGGTTGTGTGCGTGTAGATGAGCGTGTGCCAGTCCAGGTAACAGGGAGATGATTTCATGTTCAGTTTTTGGGAAATAATATAGAATTTGTAAATGTCTATTGTCTCCGAAATCACATGTGCAACGTAACACATCAGCACTGGTCAGCTTAGTTTAGCAGAAGGACTGAAACGTTCTCTCCTGGACGAAGACACCGGTTGACCATTTTGAAGGGTTCAGCTCAACATCAGTCTCCAGAAAAATGACCAAACTGTGATCTTTACATTTAGATGATGTGTTCTTGGGACCAGAACACTAGACTGTGTTTTAGTTAACACGCTGACGTAGTAGTATAGCCACTAATTATAATATATGAAAGACTCAACGGTTTTCTGCACTGCAGTTTCACCATGACATTTATTTATTTTTTACCCCGCAAAACTCTTAACTTCTATTTGTTCCTCAAATATCCCAAAAGGATTTTAAAATATTCAGAAAATGTCTAAGGCTGGAGGCTAGTCGTCCCGTAACTGCTCCCAAAAAGGTCCCATGTGTACGAACGGGTGTGCGTGCGCGCCGCCTCGCATCACCGTCACAGTGACACTCAGCGGGAGCGACGGCGGCTTTCCAGGAGCACCGTCGGCCCGTAAGAGGGTCCGCAGCCTCAGAACGAAACGCACCCCCGCTGCCCACCGCAGGTAATCGCTGAGTCAATAAAGGAAGCATCAATGGACGTGGTCGTCCAGGTATGTTTATTGTTATGAAGACGGACCGGTGCCGACGCACAGGAGAAAAATAAGATTTGAAGTGTGATTAGCGGAGGAGGAACATGGGCCTGGTCATTTATATTATGCAGTAAAGCATATAAGGTGGTTGGATGTGTGTTGGAAAAAGGTTTCAGGAGGAATTTCTGCTCAAATAAATCTCAAAACTCTGATTATTATACATGAAGATGACAAAACCAGCATTAAGATCTGTTACAAGATAGCACATTGTGTTGTCCCCAAAACCACACACACAATAAAATGAAAAGGATTTGATTGACACGCCGGACGTTGTTGAGACCCGCACAACATCCTTTCAAGGTGTATTTACAAGACACACATCATTTATTGTTTGATAGAATTGTCAAAGTATTACATAAATTACATCAATCATAATTTCTTCCATGCAGAAAATAAATGTAGTGAAAAGTACAGCGTTTTCTGTCTTTGTCTTTTATTAAAACAGATTTGTAAAAGGGCCCCCGTGTGTGCAGGGAGGAGGCATCAAACAGACACTTCCTCAAGCTACAATTAAATAACTCAATCTTCTTTAAACTAAACACTTCACTTAACAACAAAACCACCTCCTGCCTGAAAACACTTGTGCATTGATCTCGTAGTGTGCATCCGTTCCTCGGATAAGAGCAACACAACCACCTTATTCGCTTTGCTCGACGGGCTCGGTGCGCTAAAATGAATGTGTAGGGCGGCCACACACTTGGGTTTCTTTTTCGCTTGTTTGTGTTTTCAGGAAAGTTGAATGTACGACACAACCTACGAGATTTGGGAGAATTTCTATTAAGTCAACCAGGCGGCAAGCAGCTAACCGCGCAAACAACGCCAAAAGTGCTGACCGAGCCATCAGTGTTTACCTGAGGAAGGAACAAAAGGGAGGGGCGGGGGGCAGACTTTACTCCACTACATCTTTACAAAGATACTAGCTGTCTGCAGCCTTCACTCAACTCAAATGGGGAACACAACTTAATAAATGTAAACGCAAAAAATGTCCCATTTCACCGCAACTGGTGCGCGAGGAGCGTAAAAGCAACAATGTCTGTGTGCATCACCGCTCTGTAGCAGCACTTATTGCATCGTGTATTGCACCGCGCATGCTGTTTAGTGTTCCCTGCACCGACAGTCACACAGTAAACCCTCTCCGAGATAAATAAATAAACATTGTACGAGGAAAGTAATACTGCTTCTTGGCAGATTCCGTGGGAAGTAGACGGGGGACTGACTGGCCGACGGGAGACGCGCGCCGAAATGCGTCGTTTGTATTTTCTCTCTGTTCGTGTTCGCGGTCTGAGAGGGATCCGTTCAGGACAGCCGGCGTCCCAGCATGCAGCTCTGGTTTCTGCAGTCCCGCCATGCGCGGCGTCTATTTGGGCCAGTCCACTCTGGCAAAGAAAGGGTGGGATTTGATGTCATCCACGCCTCCCGCACCTGCCCCCAGCCGCTCTGCTGGGTTGTACTGGAGCAACTGCAGACAAACAAGAGACCATCGGAGGCTTTTAAAATGCAGTTCAATAACAAGCGACGCGATTGTTTCCACTTAATAAACATTTAGAGACAACCGGTGTTGAGGATTCGCAAATGATGTTATTTCAATCTGCACTTGCGAACAAATTGCGAATGACTTTCGGAAAGAAACGTCCTTTACGATCCGGCAGTCACATGACTTGACATTGACAAGCGTTCCGGTAAAGTCTACGGGGACGCTACCAGCGGCAACGCCGGACTCTTACCTGCTCCAGCAGAGACCTGGCCTCCTCTGAAACGGACTCGGGGATGCTGAGCGCCGTGTGGCGACCGATTCCTGCCGGATGGCATCGCAGCAGAGACTGTGGGGAGGGAAGGAGGGATGGACAGGAAAAGATAATGATCAATCAAAGCAAAGACAACCTGACACACACACACATTGACGCCGGCGGAGCCTCGGTCAATGTGAGAGCGCCGGCGCTGGACAAATAGGAGGAGACCAAAGGGCCAGAGCAACTGAAACAACACTGATCACACCAACTCCAACAAGGCAGTGATTGAAGTACTGTTGCTCTTTCTTAGAACTGATGTGTTTGTGTCACGCAGTGTCACACAGAAAATGACGTGGAAAGGAAAAATGGCTGCTGTTTTGGTTAGTTTGTCCTTTTGTTTGTAATCATACAGCGCTACTTTACTGGAATAACCAACAGTTACGCATGCAGCGGAAAATATGAAGCATTTTTATTTGTTTTTAGAGTAAAAAAATGGCGGAGGTCAAACCGTCAATTACAAGGAATTGTTGCACTCTGGGGGGAAAAAAAGAAGAAAAAAAAAATAGAAATAATCTCGGTAGAGAGAAAAAGGGAGCACAAGACCTACAAATGCTTTTCAACCACAGAATGTAGCGCCATTGTTAAAATAATTGACAATAATGACCATAATCACTGTGTGTTGCAACAGGACATCTTTGAGCCTTCCCACTCCTCCAAATTCAGGGTTCAACTTTAATGTGTTTTTTTCACTTGCCTGGTCAGACAAGTGGATCACAAATCTAACTGCCTGCACTCCATGTTTACCTGCACGTACCTACAAATTGTCTAATCTAGGTATAGAATAACAACAAAGACTGAAGTTGATGGTGTTCTTGGGGAAAACGGCACAAACACACACATTGTTTTTGCCCACATAATCTTTGTTTTGGGGTCTTTTTTCCCCATCAGTTAGGTTGCTTCCCTCCCTCTCTCCCTCCCCTGGTACTACTGCAGGAGTTCTGGCGGGGTTCCTTGCCAGAGTCAAGACTGCTCCAGGCAAGATCTTATCCTGCAAGGATCAAGAGACTATGTGTGTGTGTGTGTGTGTCCTTGCCAGGGCTGTACTCGGACATAATCATCAAAGGAGACATCTGTGTGACGGGGTTGTTCCTTTTCTCCAGGTGAGTGTGTGTGCAGTAACTACCAGCTCGACTCACGTGTCGGGGCATAGATGGGAACCGCAGATAGCTGGTGTGAAAATATCAGTTAGACTTTATTCAAATGGAATAGACAATTAAATAATTGAAGGGACGTTGTGCGCCGGCACAGGGTGTCTCTGCGTGCGTCTTTGTGTCCACTTGTCCTTCAAGAGAGCGGCGAGTTATAATTAGCCTGTTTGTGGATACGTCTCGCTTGTCTTGCCAACATAAAACCCCTCCGACATGCTCCCCGTCCTTCTGGAGCCTTTAAAGATTGTCCCTCGGACGGGACCGACCCGAGGAGCAGCGCCTCGAGAGCTGCCCCGGTCTCCACCTTCCGCAACCGGACCTCGGGTCGGCGCCGCTACCGGGAGCCAGCAACGAGACCCGGGGAGAGCTGACCCTCCGCCCGGCCCAGCAGATGGAGCGGGGGGGGGGGGGGGGCTGAGGGGGGAAAGTCACACCGCCCCCTCCCTCCCTCCCTTACCCCCCGGTACTCCCCGAGAACCAGAGCGAGAGACGCGGGCCAAGACGCACCTCGCACACGTAAACACGCGCTGTAACAACTATCTCTAACCTGAACACGCACACACACGCACACAAACACACACGCGCACTTGGCACAGCCATAAAGAGAGTTGAAAGCGGGGGCACCTGCAGCCGTCCCACAACGAGGCGGGAAACAAAGATGCCGTTGCTCACACATTTTGACTCACCGTGCCGGTCAGCAGCTCGTAGAGGACGGCGCCCAAACTCCACCAATCGCACGCCGCGGTCTCCTCGCCGATTCCTCCCACCTCTGGGAGGCGAAGGGGGGGGAGGAAAAAGAAAAAGAATGAATCAACGGATCGTCAAGCGGAGACATTACTGGCGTTTTGGGGGAGGATACTCAAGTAATGAGGTGGAAAGTAGAAAAGGAAGACAATAAGCTTAGTGGGAGAGATCCCTTTAGTGTTGACATTAAACACCGTTTCCCACTGACATCCTGGGTTACTTAATATTTCATTGAATTGATCCAATCAAATGAAAATGAGTACAAAAACACAAACGAAGGTCTCTCACGCAAACATGCTGGCGCGCACACACAAGTGTGTGTCTCATAAAAGGGTGATTTGCATAATAAAAAAGCAGTTAAATTGAGGAAACCGTCTGCTGCAACTTCACACCATCTGCATGACCTGACCTCAAACACACACACACACACCAAGAAATGTGAAGCAGGAACACATAAGTAGCATTACATCATTATTTAATTATATTTTTCTCCTGCAGTATGTTCAGCTTGTGAAAATAACATTTATTTTCATCAATTCAATTCAATAATTGGGTTTGTAATATGTCAAGAAATAATGGCAAGTTGAAAAATCACAATTCAATCAAATGTTTTAAATCAAATGTCTGTTTATGTTAATTAAAGGAAAAAGAAGCCAATCTTATGTGGGATCAATGCAGCATTTCCAGCGATCGGCCGTGAAGGTTTTTCACTTTACAACCAAAACTAATTAAAAGGCCCTAAATAATCACACACACGCCGTTAAAGATTTCTACACCCAAGACCAACAAACCATGTAAAGATAAATATTTCATGGGAAATCTCTCCCCTGTCGTATGATTTTGATCCAGTCAGTCGGGCTGAACCAAGGAAGGCTGTCGGGACTCCCACAACGTGTGCTTAAGACACACACACACACACACACACACACACACACACACCAAGAGTGATACACATTTGCTAAAGTCAAAAGTACATGTGTGAGGTCGTGTGCGTGCGCTAGCTCCACCGGGTGCCAGATGGCCTCTTGTGCCGCTCAGCTTGCCTCTGCTCCTCTCTCTCCCTCCAGAGGGCCGGGACCCGGGGTCACGGCTGCGTGTGCCCAGAGACCGGGCTCCTCGGCTGGGGGAGCAGAGGAGACAAAGACCCCCTCGTCTCCCGCAGGCTGCTGGGAGCTCCTGGGGCCTGTGCGGCTCTCTCGCAGTAGAGGTTAGAGGGGGCTGTGATACAACCTGCACGTTTCATCCACACACACACACACACACACACACACACACACACACACACACACACACACACACACACACACACACACAGCTAACTGAGCAACCAGTCTTCAGGGCTCCCCAGGACGACTGTTTTGACAGCTAAGGAGAGAAGATCGTCATTGAACAGACTGGTGATACCTGCGTAGTGAAGAGCTGGAGGGGAGATGCTGGACACACACACACACACACACACACACACACACACGTCTCAGAGCAAGGTCGATGTCATCACAATGGATTAATGTCTAAGGAGCTGCGGGGAGAGTACAGTGGAGCTGGCTACACTTACCGTTCTGTCAGAGCGAGGCAGGGAGAAAGGGAGACGGAGAGAAAGAGGATGGGTGGGTGGGGGGGGGGGGGCGAATTAACCGCATCCACGGGGCCACGGGTCAGTCAAACACCACCGTGGGACGCATTCATTTGGACCGCGGCCCTACAAAGCTTTTCTTAAACAGCAAAAGGAAACTGATGAAACAAAAGGGACACCGACGGTGGCGTGCTGAGCTCTTCTCCTTCCCGTTCCCCTCAACAATACAGGTTCCTCCTGCTTTGTATCTTAATCACTCCATCTCCCCTCTGCCGCGAGGGGTTTAAGGAACTTCCCTTCTTCTCCTCTTGGTCAGACTTCCCCAAAACAAGGCAACAGGGAGTCATTGTTGAAAGGGGAAGTAAAGCGTTTGCAGGTAGGAAGTAAGGAGGCCGAGAGCGTCTCATACGAGCCGCACGGGTTCTGTTCAAATGCTGCCAATTGTTTGGTTAAAACCAACTAAGTTAAGCCCCAAAGCACGAATCGACAAGCGCCCCGTGAGTCATCCTGACTGAGAATATTCAAATGATAAAGCCGAGGTACGACCAGGGAAACAATGTGTTACTTGAAAAGGTTTTCAAAACAAAGCGCCCCCAAAAGGGGAACTAGACATTATCTTCCAGTAGATCACCTCGGGGCTGAGCAAGAAGAAGAACGAACACACACGCACACAGCGAGCATGATGGACTCGTCATCAACTGACTTTTTACCTCAGAGAGGAAGAAGAGTGAATTTCCCTTTTCTTAGACATTGAAGAGAATTGGTTTGAGCGCTGCTTCCCTCTCAGCTGAACAATAAACAATTGGAAATCAGGTTGCGTCTCGCTGTCACTTAACAGCTTGTTTTTTTTTTTATTAGAGAACAAAACATTGGCCATCTGATGTTTATCAATAACGACGATGATATGCTGAGAAAATAAATAAATCACGGGTGCAGAATAAATAGACTCACAGATGTCACTGTATTTTCCGAGTCCACTCCCGTGATTTTTGGGTGTGAATGTGTGCGTTTTGAAAAACATGTTTCCCTCTGCTTTACACACACACACACACACACACACAAACGCACAGCAGGCCCCCTGCTAGCTTTCTGGCAAACAGTCATAAATCTGTCATCAGAAATGAAGCCATCGCCAGAGCTGACCCTGTCTGGATAAACAGCAATACATAACAAGGGCAGGGGAGACACACACACACACACACACACACACACATACACACTAACTCACCAACCTCTGCGTTACAGTGTGCGTGTGTGTGCTAACAAGCGCATACATCAGCAGATGCATGCGTGTACCCATGGCACGGGTATCAAATAAAACGTCATATTGATGAAAGCCACGACGCGGTAACACGTGCGTAATAGAATTTACGAGACAGAAAGGTGGACGCGCGCGAGGAACGAGACAAAAGTTGCCCGTTGTGCTTCCGCTGCGCACACAATGGAGGTTGAAGGCAAACGATCGCTCGGCAGCAGCGTTACACCCCCCCTGTTGGCTGCTGGGGCATTTTACACTTATTGATCCATGTGGGATCAACAGAAGTTGAACTAATAAAGATGTTTCACACCTGGACTGAGGGGAGAGCGATTCTCCGCTGTTGGCTTTTATACCCCACGTTGAACTTTCTTTCTTTTTAGATAATTATTTGGAGTGCGGCGAATGTAAACGTCACCCATATGTGACTGAAAGGGCACCATCGGCTCCGTCACCTATTCTTATGTTTGTCTACATCTGAATTCGACATGAAAAAAGACGAGGCGATAAACTTATGGACGTATTCAATGACCCTTTTGTAAGTCGGTTAATTTTCATGTGAAGAAATCAAAGTCTCTAATTTTCAAAAAGGTTGTTTTCCGGATTTGTGTCATTTTAAAATCGAATAACTTCCACTTTTTGAGTGCCGGTCATAGAAAATATGACATTTGAAAACAGCTCTTTCATAACGTGAGGAAGCAATTATCTGATGGTTAAACATGCAGCCCTAAATTTTAATTTAATGGCCTTTTACATTTGCTTTTCAAACGTTTTTTAAAATAAAAAGACTTCCCTCTTAGGCACTTATGAAGAACTGTCACTGCTTATTTTAACAAGAACAATAACATTAGACGATGTCTTAAGAGTCACACCTGTCTGTCACTTTTTAAGCTGCATTCTGCATAAATCTCCTCGTGCTGAGCTCTACTCCTGCGAGTCTTTAGGTCGTCTACTGCTGGACACTGAACATATGACTCCAAGCGCTTCCATTTCCATTAGTGGGCTTTCAAACCAGCCGTTTCTAAAGGGAATAAAAAGGCACACTTTGAATATTAGATAAAGCATTTGTTGCTTTCAGATTTATTACAACGGTGCCATACTGTGTGTTCTGGTCCCAAGGAGGATTTAAATCTGAAGTGACCTTCCCGGCTTGAGAGAGGATGAGTATGAGTGAATAGCTTAATATAAGTGCGTGGGTGAGTGAATGGGTGCGACGGCCGTTGTGTCTCTAAATGCATCCAGAGTTTTTCCAGCAGTTATCCGCCCTGCATATTAAAGAAAGATGCAATCAAACACATCCCACATAATCCATCCAGCATCCCAAGTGGGAAACCTGATGCTTAAAAAAAAAAATTAAAAAAAAGATACTCGTTGGGGCAAAAAAGTATCCGCCCATGGATGTCAAACGGATGTGCACGCAAACGCCCCCCCGAACGCACACAGAAGTGCGAAGTAGGGACATGGTGCTGTAGTCTAGCAGCGTGCCACCCGCCTGCCGAGGGCACCGCACAGAGTGAGCGTGCTGCTGCCGCTTTGTTGCACAACAGCGCCCTCTACAGGGCCCCGGAAGAACTACGGCACGAGCCGGCTTCCCCGAACCGTGAGCGGATAGAGACTCTGCATTCCAGTTCATCCTCCAGGTGGGAAACAACAAGTGTGCATTACACTGCCATCGTGGTTGTATCCTTAAGAGGTGCTTACTATAAATGGCGAAGAAGGGAAATAGACAGAATGGACATTTGCATGTGGATTTCTGCCTATTTCAAAGAGGAGAAGAATCACGGATGGTCTGTTGATACTCTCAAGAGTTTGTTTTGTTTTGCTTTTTTACACGTGGATTGTTTATATATATTTATGGCTATGAATGAGGGTTTTGTGGCCATGGGAACGTGGCCTACTTATGGCCCTGCATGCCTGCATAGAATTAACCCAGCCGAGCTCACGCAAACACACAAAAGGAGGCTGCCAATTAAAAAGTTCAGAATGGGTTTATCAGAGGGGTGACGTGTAATAGCATGCGTCCCACCTGGTGCACAGTACATATTGGCGATGGCCTCCTTGTTGCAGGACTCCTCCACATCATTCCAGCTGCCGAAGTAGGTGAGCTGAATGTGACCTGAGGAGGGGGAGAGAGAGAGAGAGAGAGAGAGGGAGGGAAAGTGCTCAGCTCCAGCGCTAAGTGAGAAACGTTCACCTAATGCTCCGCCTCAACACGATGTCAGGTACCGCTCGGACTGCATACTTTCCAAACTGTTTACTCGCCTTCAGAGCACTTCCTTCCGCCGTTCCTTTCTGCCTCTCTACTTCCCTCAGCGAGCTTTTAAAGCACACGGCCCCGGCGATTACTCCTGTTTAGCGGCTACCCGTTAACGCCATCATTAGAACTAATGGTGTCATTAGGTAGCCGTAGCCATTAGCCTGGGCTAGCCAGACTGATGCACCACACTACGCCGGTGATGGGCCCTTTAGAACAATAATTACCACCAGGGAGACAAAAACAGCCACTCAGCTAATTAGACGCTTGTTGATAACGAGGTGGAGAGAGATGATTGTAGGACAGCAAAGGGAGAAGTTGAGCGGGAATTTGTGACCTCCTGGTAAAAAAAAAAAGAACTTTTCCTTCTGGTAAAGCTTTGGTTTTAGTAAATATATTAAATCAGGGTTGACTGAGTGAGTAGAGCGGTTTCAGAGAGATGTGAGTAAATGTCATAAAGACAATGTAAGATCTACAATAGGTCTTCATTGCTGAAATATATGCTGTGAAAAAAAAGGCCATATTAATTATTTCTCCAGGTGCAGCCTTCGTGATTCACCTTATTGAGCGTAACATTTATATTGATATTTACGAGCAGACTGTTTTCCTTTAAAAGGTCTCTTCATAGCTTGTTGTCTCAACACAAAAGGGAGAAGGGTCATGTGTGTAACGCAGATGGACTCACAGATGCATCTACCACCAAGCTAATCTACGTCTTCTTCTTTAACTAAACTCTGCTGCCCTCCCCTGATTCTAAAGCTCGGAAGATGTTGTGGCGTAATAGTCTCGTGGTATTTAAGCTATTATTCCAAAAACATATTCATTTTTCCAGACAGCCTCTGTTCTTTGAGACCTATACTGTCGTACGTGATTTAAAGATCTATTTAAGAGGCCGCTGGATTGAGGGATTTCACTGAACAGGGCACTTTGTCACAAGCTGGGTGACGGATGTCTAACCTTGGTGGTCGAGCAGGATGTTGTTGGGGTTGAGGTCTCGACAGAAGATGCCGTCTTGGTGCAGGAAGTCCAGGGCTGTCACCATCTCCGCGGCCCAGCATCGTACGAACGCCTCCGGGATACGAACTTGGGACGCGGCCAACGACAGCTCGTCCAGCTCCGCGAACAGCCGCGACACTTCTTTATCAAACTCGCAGCCCCCTGCATTACCGATAACCCCCGATGATTCACCCTCTAGGCCGAATAAACCCTCGGCCACCGCGCACGCCTTGGCCCCGTTCGTGGCCGGGATACAGTCTGTGCTTTTGCCGCAGAGGTCAGAAACCAGGTCCGTATCTACTCTTGTACCAGCCCCTAGTTTCCCATTTAGTGCGTCAGTCACTGGAAGGTCAAGGCAAGTGTTTTGGCATGTAGGGTGAACCACCATTGTGTCAGACGCCTGTGGCCCGGAGGCCACGCTGCAGTCGTCCCACACCGGGTTGAAGGGAGAGGAGGATGCGACTTTGGTGTCGCGAGTTGCAGAGGTCGTACGTAGAGGTGAAAGCTCCTCCCCCTCCTCCTCGGGCTGGCTGTGAAGCTGTAAAACATCAGGCTGGATGAACTTCTTAGGCGAGGCGGTGGCCTCCAGGCCAAGGCCCAGCCCCGGGGGGGCTACGTCCTCTTGTAAAGAGTCCACAGTCCCACCCGTTACCGGCAGGTTGACCAAAAGGTCTGGCGGGTGACCCTCGTCCTCCACCACCGCCTCTTTAAACGAGATGACTGGCACCGACTCATTGGAGCCTCCGTCGCTACAGTCCAACCCCCAAAGCCCGGAGCTGTGGCCCGTGACCTCCTGAGCCCACTCCGGAGGATCCTCGGGGACGTCCGAGCCCAGGTCAGATGTAGAAAGGAGTGAAACCGGCTTCTGAGGAGGCCGCTGCTCCCCTGGGTCCGGACAGGTCACCTCGTTTGCACTGTCTTTGCTGTCGATCCGGAAAAACTCCATCGGCGTGTGCTTGGACTGATCCAAAGGCAGGGGCGCGGCGGGGGACGGCAGAGGGCTGAACACCTCGCTGTGGTCCTGCTCCTCGCCGCGGCACCGCTCGTCGTCGAGGGCGTGGCCACTTTTGTCGGACGCCTCGGTGAAAAAGGCGAGGTCCCGAGGGCTGACGGGCGACGAGAGGCTGTCGTTGCTAAGCAGCGAGCGGCTGCGCGAGGAAGCGGTGGTCGTAGCGGCCGGCGCCTCCAGCGAGGGCACTTCCTGTTCGCTCTTCTCCTCCTCCTCCTCCTCCAGTGCGTCTGGTTCGACTTTGTCTTGTTCGTACTCATTGCAGAGTGTCAAGTAACTGTTGGTGCACTCTTCCTCCGAGGTGGCTCCGGAGTCCGACTGGGCCCCGGCGAGCCCGGGAGGGAGAGCACGTTTCCTGGGAGACGCCCTCGGCGTCTCCGCCTGGTTCCGTAGCTCGGACACCGAAGCAGAAGGGGACGCCGGCCCGGAGCCGGGACCGGCCGGGTCCACGTCGAGCCGCGGCGCGGCGTGCTGCGGAGAGTGCACGGCCGTCGTGTGGCTCTTCTGGATGAAGGGAATGTCGAAGCTCTCCTCCGGGCTGCAGTCACGCAGGTACTTTGCAATGTGAGACCACAGCTTCCCCCCTGGGCGCAAAGGAAACGGGGCATTAGGGACAAAGAAAAAAAGGAAGGTCGACAGTAGACAGCGGAGGTGTTAAGAGGACAAATTAGGAGGAATGGAATCAGCTGGACATCCTTTTATTCTTTGGTACTGTGGACATCGGTTCCCTCTCCACTGCCCTTAGGAATGAGTAACCAAGACAAGAACAGCGAGTGATTGATGATTGGACTCAATTTGGCAAAATGGGGTTGAGGTGTGTTCGTTTTAGGTTTCCAGTGTTTTGTTGACGTCTTTACTTCTCTGTTATACACACACACACACACGTACACACGCGCACACACACACACACACAAAGCTGTAGCGTGAGCAATTGGAAGCCAGCATCTGCTGTGTGTGATGAGAATGGATAGGGAGTTCACAGTAATGATAATGATAGGAGGGCGACTTGATGACTTAGAATATAAAACCATCCACATGTTGTTCTGTCCAATGTCACTCAGGTCACCGCCTCCCTCATTTAGTCTATCAGCTGCCACCGGGAGTACCAAAGCATCAGAAGCAACCCCGGATTTGTTTAAATCGCAGGGCTGAAACGTAACCGCGGTGAAACGGTGCCTTTTCTTTGATTGGCTTAATTAGATTATGTTCATATGATATTAAATGCTGTCCACTGATATTAGCGCAGGGCGGTTATAGAGAGCACCAGATTGAATAGGTTTACGCAGCATTGCAAATAAGGCTGCATTTCATTGCACCCACACACTAACTAGGTTTACACACACACGCGCGCACGCGCTGTAAACTGAGTGGGTTGTAAGGAGGCCCAGGTGTTGGCATAGCTAATGAAGCATGGTGCCACCTGGTATTCAGAATAATGACCTGTGACACACACCCATCTCTATCAAACATCTGTCTGGAACAAGGACAGAGAGAAGAGAGGGGGAGGGATCGGGTGAAGGAGGGAGAGAAAGATAGAGAGATGTAGTTGGTGAGCATTAGATGACACACACACACACACACACACACACGTTTTACCTTCAGCGTACTGCAGCAGAAGGAAAACTGTGTCTTCAGAGACAACGAACTTCCTCAGCTGCACCATGTGGGGCACAGAATGAGGCATGATGGTCCGCTTCGTTCGCCAACAGTCACTGCTCTTTCTCAGACCCTGCCATGGAGAGAGGGGGAGGGAGAACGTGACTAATGTGAAACAAAGGGAAAAGGAAGTCTGCGATAAAGGACATAAGGAGAAAAGATACATTAACTGGATATGGTGGGCAGGAGTGTGGCAAAGGAGAAACCTCCGATTAACAAGGTTCTAGCTTTGCCCCACGGCCAGCCAAAGTCACCGAATTCATCACGCCCCACACAGCGCGTGACTTTAGGAGAGCCACACGAATCCATCAGCGCTACGTTAAGTTCACATTGGTTCTGTGTGTGTGCCTGTGTGCCTGTGTGTGTGCGCACGTGTGTATTCATCTGTGCCGGCGCTGTGCGTCGGCATCTGGCACACGTCTCACACCTGAGAGCGGAGGAGCTGACAGGGACCCATTAGAATCAATTAAAGCGGTCACACACACACACACACACACACACACACACACACTTCACACCACGAATAGTCACAACGACCAGGATGCAGAGAGCAAAAACACACACACACACGCGTATTTTAAACTTACTTTCAGGATGAACATCTCTTTGGTTCTCTTGTCCATGACCAAAAGAACCTGCGATGGAAGAGAGACATTAATTGGCGGATATGTGCAGACACACGCGGTCAAAGATGATGCAGCGGACGTGTCCCGCGGAGCATAGTTTTTTGACAAAGGGGTCACGGCACACACACACGGGTCACCGTAAGACAAATGTGGGTCCTTAAATGATACTAGAAAACTGGCATTAACGCGTCAGATCCGGCTGTGACACCAAACCCAGACCGGGGCTCAACGACGAGAAGGGATCTATAAAAGTAGGTTGAATTATGCCATAAAAAAGGGAAAAGAATGAGATGTTAGCTGCAATACCACCAATATTTTCTAATACTTAATAAATTAATGGATCCATTGGTTGATTAACAAGAAGTAAAAGGAAATGAAAACAACTAAAAGTTTAGTGCTTTTGGTTTATTTTGGCGTCATTATATTCGGACTGCTGGTTGAATTAAACTTGTTTTCAGTATTTTAGGTAACTTCATAGATTTAACGTATTCGTCAGCTGCGGCTCAAAATTTGTACCAAAAAATGATCCATAAAATGCACGGATTTCTTTCCTATGCTGCACACGTGTTCCTTGAGATGTAACTACAGATCCATGCGGTGCTCCGCCATCTCTGAATAAAGTCCCACCTCCTTCCTCCCCCTGTCTCCTCCTAACCTCTACCCTCCCCCTCTTCTCCATGACATCTTCATTGCTCTTCCCCCCCCCCACCTCAGGGGAGAGCTGAGGCATATGCGTGTGGCCCGGTGTGCGTTTGTGCGTTCTGTGGGTGCGCTCTCTCCGTGTGACCCTGGCTGGGACCAAACAGGTGCAGGCTAAATGGATATGAATGGAGCTGTGAGTAAACAGAGCGGCAGCGCTAGCCAGGGCGCTAATATAATTAAGACACCAACATCAGGGAAGGGGGGGGAGGGGGGGGCGGAGAGACGGGGCAGTAGGGCGAGGAGCTCTCTCCATCTGTCCCCCTCTGTCCCCATTAAAAGTGAAAGGAGGAAGGAGGAGAGGAAAGCGGGGTCGTTTCTGGATCGCGCAGTTTCCGCTCGTGCCGGGTTGTTCGCCCCCCCACCCCCCCCACCCCCCCTCTCTCGCCGCGCGTGCGATTGGTTTCCGACATGCTGTGGATTTTGCACGCACCTCTGTAGAGTAACACATGTTAGCATTGTATCAACATTTTCCTCAGGGTTTTGTGTGTGTGTGTGTGTGTGTGCGAGTGCGGAGGACGAGCATCATTGATTCAATGTAGTGTGCAGCCCTGCGAGCGGCTTGCCAAGTCATTTCATGGCTGAGTGGCGAAGTTGCTTCGCCCCGGCAGCTGGTTGAGAGGACCAGCAACCTAAACTGACCTTGTGGTGGTCATAACGGACGCGGAACATACACACTCAGCTTTTACCACACCGCTCAGTAAATCCATTACGCTTTATTGCCCCGGGTGAAAAAATATGTTCCAAAAAGGACGCGAGGAGACGTTCGACACGTCTGAATTTATCTGGGCCGGATGTTCATAAAAGATTCAATTCAATTCATTAGTTAGTTAGTCTAGTTAATCATTCTGTAAGGGGGTTATTATTAACTTTTCTTCTTCTATATTTGAAATGAATATATTTGAAAATAAGGGAACAACTTTTAAGTTTAAGTTAATTCCCCAAATTGGGCTGCGAGTTACTCGACTCTTCAATAGTAAACGGACCTTGTCTACGACCCCCAACACCCTGTATGCTCTCAGCTCCTCAGATGGACTCTGCTGGCCTCCTCTGGTGGTGGATGGGCAGCATTGTGCCCCCAAAGCCTTGGAGGAACAAAAGAAAACAAACACACATTTCAATATAGTGTCCTCATTAAAACATGGGTCACATTCATTAGCATTCTAGACTGCAGCTGCAACACAAATCAAGTGTGGGAAAGAAACCCAGAAGAGCCCGTGTCAGAGTCATCAGACACAGGTAAAGTACAGTGGGGGAAAACGATCATGTATTAGCATGCATTATCATAAGATCCAGTACAGTCGTATTTATACCAGATGATACACGGTCTCAAGTGGTTTAAGGACCCCGGTGGATGCGAGCATGCGGGCTTCATTTGCATAGTCCAACATCGACAGCATACGGGCCGACGGCGCTTCCCTCCCACTCACCGCGGTCTGCGTCGACCCTTGACCCATGTTGCTTCTCAGATGCTGGCTGGATATCTGTTCTGCACGCATCAGATACTCGGCGGTCTTCTTCTTCACCGCCTCTCGCCGCGTGGGACTGGGCTCACCTGAGAAGGGGTCAAGCATTTTCCTTTACGAAGCAGTTTTCAGAGTGCCGCCGAGGCTAAAAGTTTCTGTACAGCATTTTATTTACTGACAAAACAGCGTCACTGTGACAAGGTAACGAACCAGAAAGTAAAAGTGAGCGGTATTATGGGTCAAATTGAGGGCTACTTGTCCTCTGTGACTCTGGAGAGCTTCATCATGAACCTGGATCTTAGCTTGGAGACTGCGGCATTTTAACAGAAAGCCAGCATTGAACCTTTTGGGACGTGAGGTTTAAAAGATGTGGGACGGAGCGTCACATGTAAAGACCGTACTGTGTTTAATTATGGGAAATATACAACACATCATGTTACTAGAATACCTCTTCTTCTTCTTCTTCGAGACGCTGGTGTGTGATAAAACCATTTGGGACTAACCTTGCACTCCTTTTAGCAGCAGGTCCACTCCGCTGCGATAGCAGGAGAAAGCTGCCTGAAAGTCCCGCTCTTTTTCCTTCTCGACAGCCAAACAGATGAGCTCACTGGCCCCGTCGAGGTAGTCGGACTTCCCGTCCTTTGGGCCGTCGCCGCCGGCTTTCTTCAGACGGCCGGAGAAGAGCGGCGTTCGGCCTGGCCGGCTGACCTCCGGGGTTGCTGCTGGGGGGGCGGGGGCGGGAGATGGGGTGCGGCGAGGGCGCAGGGAGGGCAAGCGGGGGCTGCAGCTGCTGCTAGTGCGGATGGCTCCCCCCTGTGGCTGGTTTGGGGACGTGCGGCCTGAGGCCATGCCATCATCCAGCCCAGCCAAGGAGTCTGTGCCCACGGCCAGGGGGGTCAGGGCGCTGCCACTGGACGGGCCTGGGGAGGAAGGCAACGCTCACGGTCAAAACAGACACACACACGCGCCCCTTAGTGTGCGTCTATTCACAAGCTATCATGGAGGTGTGTGTTATTGTGAGAGATAAGCAAACAAACCATACCACCATATTCAGATGTGATGGTCAAATCATCCGCACCACTAATGTCTCTTTGAACTGTGAAAAAAAAAAACACACATCTGAGTAAGTGTTGATTCATTGTATATCATTGATTGATCGATTCATTGGTTGATTGATTGATTGGATTGAGAGGCATTGTGCTTCACCTTACCGTCGGAGCTGCAGTCTGATGAAGTGTCTGCCAAGAAGTCTGAAAAGGGCTCAGCCGGCCCAATGAGCTCGGAGCCGTCGTGGACGTCGCCTCCCTTGGACACAAGTAGAAACGTTGCAGTTCACTGTTGCCCAGCAGTGTGTTTGTGTTTCTGCGTGCGTTCGTTTCGGGTACCTTGAAGAAATCTTGGATGTGCTGACTGCTATAGAGCGCAGGGATATTAGCGGAGAACTGCAGCAGGTCCTCAGAGCACTGTCTTCTTTCCTCAACTACCGAGTCATCAAAACGCCCTGCACAGGGACACGAGGAGAAACAGACACGCACTGTTGAAGGAAATCGCTCAAGTCCAGTTCAGAAGTTGCTGTGGTGGTGAGAGTTTAATGAAGCATGCCGGCACACTGGTGAACTTACAGACAAAGCGCAGATCTGAGCCGGTTAGTTGACCCAGAACAAATGAAAAGGAAGCATTTTATACAGCAAGCCAACGCAGTGATTAGACTGTATGCAAATAGTAGAGAACCAAAAGGTAAAAGGGAAGACCTAATGTAATATAATGTAATCACAAGTGGTAACAAAAGGCACCAGCGGGAAGAACACACAGTTGGGATTTGATAAAGTCAAGGGGTTAACAAATCAACACACGTCGGAGATACAATACTTGATTACATCAAGCAGGAGAGGCGTTTAATGCACAGCACCCAGAACATTGTGTCTCTTGGTACTGCGGTCCAACAACAAACTCAAACAACCACGATATTGAAAAGGATCCAAAGAACGGAAAGGCAAGCGCTTGGTCTCCTTCTATTGTACCCGAGGAGAATCCACAGCGTAGGTTCCTTACCGAAGACTTTGGCCTTTGCAAACGGAGGAAACAGCTCCGACTGGCTACACACGCTCTTATGCAACTGCCAGAGGTTCTGATGCAGCTTCCGGAAATCACTGTATCTCTTCCATACCGTTATCTAGGGAAAGACCAAGAGGACAGATGGATGAAGACAGGGACGAGGAGGGCTAACAGAAAGTGATTTAATTAGCTTTGACGCTTGCAGAAGTAACCAAATTGTGCAAATGTCTGTAAAGGTAATCTCATTCGGACTGAATCTAAAATATCTGAGTAATGTATTTGTATTGTCAGCAGCTTCTCTCCACAACCTGAAACGAAAAACTTAAAAATGAAAATCAGCTAATGTTCCTCCTTCTAAGTTTAGTAACATTTGCTCATCTTTCAACAAAACTTTCACGCACACAAACGTGGATAAAGTGGTGGCTTACTCTGCGGCATAAAGAAAGACACGGCGGCCTAACGTTGTGATGCAAGTCCTATTTGCTAAAATCCTGTCCGGCACGATAGTGTGAAGAAAACCGGGCCGAGCAGAGCACCACTCCCAAAGAGGAGCACTGGAGGAATGTCCTTCCAGACTTTCCCTCTGTCTCTTTGTCACACACGCACTTTATTGAAATCATGCCTGCTGCATTAGCTCTGGTTCCAGGCAGGACTGCATTCCTCAGCGTGTGACAAACGATAGAGAGCATGGATGGGTTTATTTTTTTTGGATACATTAAGAGGCGAGGAAGTTGTTTGATGTTCTGTTAATGAAAACCTTATTTTCCCACAAATGATCACAGTGAACATTTGACAATAGGCAATGCTTAAACTGTGTGAAAGTGTCAGTTTTCTACTTTGAATGGAAAAAGATGGGGGAAAAAATAGACACAGTCTCTTATTTTTAGAATTGAAAAATTAGGGCAGAAAGATTAAAGTTTGCTATTCAACAACTCTTGTGTAAGGATGCGGATTAGGAAGGTAAAGCCACACACAGCTCGCACTTTGACTATAGAGGTCTCAAACAACGTTGCCTGAGAAAACAGGCAGCTCACACAACAAAGAAACCGTGCTTATCCTCCGACACACTCTCCAAGTCATGAAACACAAATGAAGGCTGCACGTCTCACCTCTTGCACGTCCTCTGGGTTCTTCCTGGAGATGATCTGTTCGGAGAGAAGGGGGAAGAGAACTCAAGGCTTCAGTCCCTCATTGTGAGCGGCTCCTATCGACAAGTGTAAGGCGGCCGGCGCCGGTTCAAGACCTCGTTGTGAGGCTGGCGCAAGCATGAGCAGGGACACAACTCTGAGCAAGACAACGAGTGCTTTGTGTACACTGAATGAGAGAAGACACGCGGCATCACCAACAACCAGAACCAGCACGATGGCGTGGAGGAGGAGACAGAGACACACCGTGCGTCTGTAATAACGCGCAAATAGAATAACAGAATATATGTGTGTGTCTGTTTATGTTATTATCAGACGGCTTAGTATTCCAGCACCTCTTCTGGGAGTTGCTGTACTTTATCAATGGAAACAGGGAGCCATGTTTACAAATGACAGCCTCACTGTTCAAAACTGAAAGTAAATTGAAAGCTGAAAGCAGTTTTTTTCTATAAAAGGTTTCTCCTTCCTAGAAATAGTAGTATAATATGTTGTATAATATACAATACAACGTTAGGTGTGGCTTAATAATCAGGATCCAACATCACGTTCATTCATTTTTTTCAAAGAATTTATCGAGGAAACTTAATATGAAATGTCAATATAAACCTGCTGGTTGATGTTGGAGTATGAACATATTTATTCTGCTGTAAGATTCTTAACATCATCTCCTTTCTGTTCGTCTGTCGTGATATCACACACCAGCATTAGGACTAGCAGAGCTAGCTTGTTAGCTACCCAGCGGTTAAACTCAGGTCAACGCTGGGTTTGGATAGAATTAAATCTGTCCTGCTAATATTGCTAATGTAAGTCAGCAGCTGGGTAACCCACTGGGGGGGTTGACAACAAACACATTTTAACAAACGAACAATCCTTAATGTTACTGTAAGCAAACGATGACAGGTAATCGATATCAGTTTACAGTAACCAGCCAACCGGAAGACATTTAAGTAACGTTACTTGTGTTGGCATCCTATTAGCTTGGTTAGCACAGCTCCAGCTAAACGGAGAGCTAACGTTAGCTAACAACACCTAGCATTAGCATTGAGTGTCCATCCTCCTTACTGTAACTACTTACCCTTGCGGTGACTTTGTACACAGTGTGGCCTTTCGGGTGCTTTTTAGGATCGGTGACAGTATAAAACCGAGCCAGTTCTCCTCTGTCCCGCTGCGATATCATTCTGATAGTGGCAACATTGCCAAAGCTACCACTCGGCTAGCCTTACACTTCCATTCCTTGACGACAGTGCTAGGCAAGAAAATAAGTTACAGCGCCTCCCTGTGGATGGTCAGTGTAACTACACGCCTGCCTGAATGGCACTCGCATCCACTTTTTTGAACATCATAACCCTGCTTTCACGTTATTTCTGGAATATATATTTTATTGAGTGATGAATCAGCAAATGATTAGCTATTTTATACATTTTGTATGCATATACATTACAGCAATTAGGCAATTAGAGTGCATGAACTGACTAAAATACATGTACACAATTAGGAGATGATTAATAATCAATACTAGAGAGTAACAAGTACAAAAGGAAAACAAAGAAAATGGTTAACATCCTGTCTTGTGAAGTTGAATGCAACAGATGTTTTATGAACTGCCCCTTACGATGTAGAGATAGCAATGGTTTGGATCTGTTGCTCATACAAACATGTTATATTACTGCAATCCAGAGTACCAAAAGTATGATTCCTGTTAAATTCATAATCCAGGAAGTGCCAAGTCTGCTCGCCGAATTGCTGTTGCGACAGGTGACATTTGGCGTTTCCATCAAGGCTCTGACCGTGCCTATTCGGCCAACTGAGAAGTACTGTGAAATAGAAAAGATGACAAAGAAATACCTTTTTGTCTATACTTGCTGGAGACATACAGAGGTCTCCAAAGTCTTTTCTAGAATAAAATCCTCTACAAAATGTATTTATACAAGAAGTAAATGCAATATCACTATTCAATTACTTACGTTTGCATCAGAGGCATACTGAATTTGTGGAAGATACTTCAGATAACTCTCCTGTGCAGCAATTGTATCCTTGTCTTCAGACATGCTGTCAGAATGATTATAAGAACTTATTAAGATGCAGCTGCTTTAGAAAAACATAGACAGTATATATGAATATATGTATGCAAGCTGTATGATTGTCAGCCAACACCGGTGCCTCCTCATCAGAAATGTATTTTGTGGACTGGATTAGGCCTCGCGGTAAGCTGGTGTTCGTAGATAGGTACCTCGTGTTTGGGTGGCTAACACAGGTGGTGATGTTGATTGCGGGGTAGTAGAGCAGGAAGGCGAGGCACATCTCATCAGTAGTTGACAACCCCATCTTAATGGGGAAAATGTAATACACGGCAGGTATTCAAGACATTAGATCCCCTTTGTACGTGTGCATAAAGGCATGACGCATGGTAAAAACCAGGCATCTAACAGTGAATAACAATAAATAGTCAAATCGTTAACAGATATATTACACATGAAAACAGGGTTGTTGAGCAGCTCTAAGTGGTTTATTTTCATCATTCCACTCCGTTTCATCCTACCTTGAACTCTTCATTTGTCAAAATCCTTTGAGTCACATATTTGTCTCACTTGAACCACAGCGGTTTCATGGTGTGTGTGTGTGTGTGTGTAATGACATGAGGTTGAAAGCATTCACCCACCCTGGTGACGTTGGCGCGATCGCTGGTGCTGTAGGTGCATTCCACCACAATCTCATCACCCTGAAATGGGAGACATGAAATGTGGCGCGATGCATTACGGAGAACTTTTTAAGTGACATCGTGGGTGAGACGCAACAAACTTGTGACTTACTCGTAAAAGTACAGGCACAACATTTCGTCCCGGAGGCAATGGAAACTCACCTGCTTGATGGTCTTGATGTTTCCCAGACTGAGGGTCTCCTGCAGCTCAAAGTTGTACTCTTCGTTCAAGGCCAAGAATTCGATCTGCTCTCCGTTTCTACGGTGAAGATGGATGAAATAACTGTTTACGAGATGGTAATTACAACACTACAATGCATGTTCTGCACCAAAACATTACTCTGATCCAAACAACGCTAAGCTAATTATTTCATCTTCTCCTTTCCTCTTTGGCCTTCCATCAACGTCCGATGACATTGTGCACTCCTTCAACAGGGAAATCTTTGATTTTATTTTTTTTCCAACACTTCCACAATTGAATAATATTACCTGACTAAATGAGATCTCTTTTTTTCCTCACCTGTAATGTCCCACTCTGATTTTCCTCCCGGCCAGGTGAGTGTGCAGCATCACAGCAAACACTTGCAGGTCAGGCACAGGATTCATGAACTAGGGGTTGAAAAGTAAAAGTATTTACAAAAAAAGCCGATCAACTTATTTGTGTTTCGAAAACCATACGGAAACACAACAGACCTGAGAAAAGAGGCTTGTGTTGCACACGCCGTAGGTGTGGAATTGAGGGGCTTTCGGGGGAATGTTGTAGTGCAGAGCGCTGTGTGGCAGCATGCCAGTGGTGAGGATGCCCACATCATATTTCTTACGTTGGAGTGTATAGTGAAGCCTCAGTCCTGAGCTGTCTCTCCGACCTAAACAGGAACACACAGGAGTTTACAAATGTCGAATGTTGTTCATGGGAAAGAAAATAGTAATAATATTGTGTTGTGATAATATATTACACATTACTTATACATGACATGACTGTATACTGTGTGTTATTGTCCAGACCAAAGCCATGGCAGAGGTCCTCCATGTTGAATAAAAATGCACTGATGATATTTTTTAAATGGGAAATACCACAAATACGACAGATAACAGTTCTACTTTAATAATGAAAATAGGGCCATACGTGCGACAGTGGCCCTTGAGTGAGCCATGTCAAATCTGAGATAGATAGATAGAGTATTTACCTGCAATGTTAGTTGGATTGTTGTAGTGGATTTCCAGCCTATATAAGGTATTGCTATCTGCACCTCCAATTGGAATACCCACATCTTCTGGAAGCTCAAATACCTGACGTTTGAGGAATCAGCTCATGTCAACCGTTCCAGCTTTATACACACAGGAAACACATACAACAACATGCATGCAAGCATTCAGAGACGAGACACTCGGCCCTCACCCCTCCTCCCACTGCCCACGCAGCCACCACCCCGAAGCAGGCATCGCCCTCGTCGCCCATGTAGCATGGCCTGTCGTAGGGCTCCAGCACGAAGGAGGGGCAGCGGTAGAGCAGCATGTGGTGCACAAGGTCAGGGTTCTTAATCACTGGCTCAATCTGAGGTAAAGTAAAAAGAGATTTGGTACAGAAGGTTTCCAACAAAATGCAAAATGAAGGTAAGAGTAAAGGGAAAAAGCTCATAGTTAATTTATGAATTCACTTTTCAGTCGTAGGATTATTTATTCTTTATTCTTCCTTCTCTGAAAGCTACATTCACTCAAATGGGGAGAGTTGCAGGGTGTGTCAATCCAAAATAATATGTAAATGACAGCACTTATTTTGATTGAAGATGTCTTTGATTCAAAAAAAGAATGATGATTACCTGATATATGTGATACGGTGTATTCGGATCTAAGTTTTGAAACTTCATGATCTTGCAGTGGTAGTAGGTACGACTTTGAGGGACAGCGATCTGCAAAAGATAAAGGTGAAGATAAACACAATTCATACTTTTCTGACTGCAGGTATCAGAAGTGCTAAATGTTTCAGTTGATTTCCATCCATTTCTCCAAACATTAGATAAGTTAGCTACGAGTTCAAAATCTCTATTTTCCCATAAACATGCCTTGTTTATCCTCTTCATATTTTTGTTTCCATTATTCCTACATTATCCATAGTGGCGGTGAGATAGTTGCTGTTGGTTACGGTCGCCCTGGTCACATGGTTGAGCAGGTTGAGTTCCTTGGCGCCTCTCTTGACCCCATGGTAACCGATTTCATCTGTTGTCCCGTAGGCGTAGATCAGTGTCAGGGGCTGAGTCTGTAAAGGAGATGGCCATTTGAGAATATGACATGATTCAATATAAAAGGGGCAACATGAGAAGCCTTTTTGTTGAGAGAAGTGGCGTGTCAAAACTGAAATTTTGTTTTAAAATATAGACGGTTTAATGCACTCAACTCAGACGACAAGGTTTTACAACAAATGTTGTACATCACCTCGCGTGTGAAATGCAAAAAAAGAACCTCGCGTGCCTCTTTTGTTTCCAGCATCTTCAAATCTGAGAAACACCCAACCGAATGCACGGTATTGAAGAACATTCAGGTGGACGTAACAATAGAAATCCTCTAACACTGTGGGAAAAACTAAGGAAACTTGAGCTTCACATGGAAGAGATATATCAGCTGAACAAAAGAGTCTAGAATTACAAATAATGAGCCAACACAGTGGAGGTATAACTTTAACCCTTGAGATTCAGGTTGAAGCTTCATGTTGTAAACCGACAAAGTTTAAGTAAAGTGAGGTTGAATGAGCTGATGAGGGGTGTTGGCCCATATGCAGGGCATTGTTCCCATGTAATTGAAGAGGTAACCAAGACAACCTTACATCACATTGTTCAGTCATCAACTGTTTTGGGATGAAGTTTCACGTGGTTTGACATCAAGACACCAAGATTAACAATGTAAGGCGAGGGCATACCCGATCACAACACATATTCAGTCAAACGGTGGCAACAATACAGCTGAACACAAATTTCCACACATGCAGAACCGTAACTTTAAGAAATTGGGAGTCAGAATGTCGGAGAGCCTCACAGTGATGTAGAAATCTTCGTCATTACACAACTGAATGGGCCTCTTAAAGGTCATGACGGTTTGACCCGCAGTCTCTTCCAGAGAGAGGAGAGTGTAGCTCTGCTGGTTGTCCACCAAAGGCCTCCTGTTCCCCGTGGCGTAGTAATCCTAATGGGCAAAAAGACCACAGACAAGACGTTTTCGCCTGTAATATTTAATGATGAAAACAAGAAACCGACGTCTCCCCTTGCATCTGTTGTCATCGGGCGCTGACTTACTTGGAAGTAGCTTTCGCTGGGTCCAACTCCCCCCATGACGATGTCGGACCCTGTCATTTCCTCATTCGAATTGAAGCCCAAGCCCACCCAGCCGGTCGTGTTGACCACCAGCTTGAATGTTATGGTCCCTCGCGGGTCATCAAAGCCCCACTTCAGGCACACCATATAGTTTGGGTCCAGGTACTCCATGAAGGGCAAGTTGGGGTCCGACGCCTCCGTCGCCTTCGTCCAGGCCGAGCACAGGCAGAGGAGAGGGAGCAGAGAGTACATGATGTCTCTGCCAGGTCGGGGTTCGTAGAACTGAGCTCGGCGTCCGTGGAGCTGCCAAACGCACCTCCCACCTTTCCTCTGACACACCTGCGTCCCTCGATGAATCCGGGTGATAACAGCAAAAAGTGCTCAGTCATCTTCGCATTTTGTGCTTGCGGCACAAAGAAAACTCCTATTTGTTCCACTTTGGCTGCTCTCCCAAGTGCATTTTAATGTTTTTTGATGTATTTTGTGATACTTTTAATGAAGGATTTCTCCAGAGCTGCTTTGTCTCCGGGGAAATCTGTGTTTTCACTGCCTTGGATGTGAAGATGTGAAAAGCTTAGAACTCGACTCTAGTCTTTTCATAGAATTAGACACTCATACCCTCTTTTCTGTTTCTCTTAACGAGCCGCCGACTTCACCTACTTACTGTGCCTCCCCCCCCTCGGGTCCTCTCACACCAACTCGCTCCACCGATTCCTTCGCATTGACGGACAAATGAGACCTCTCGGGGTATTTGATATATGAGGAGGCGACGAGGACGGAGCAGGAATGAAAGTCCAAACTTTTAATCTTTGAGCCAGAGTGGAAGTTGTAAATATATTGATGACGGCCAAAAAATGAATGGTCTTCCTCTTCCTCTCCGTTAGCGTCTCTTGTATCAAACACTTCCAGGCAAAACAGTTTCACCCTACGTGAATAGTGAGAGCATTCTTTCAGATCATTGGCACTGAAAGTCACTGTTGAACTTGTGCAGGCCTTTGGCACTCATATTCTGGTACACTACGCCTTCCGTTTCGTTGTGTTTACAGCACTCAGCTTTAACAGAAAACATCACCTGCTTTCAAAGCAATAGTTGAATTGCTTTCATATTTCCAACTGCTTTAACTTTTAAATACATACATTGAAATGCATAGTGGAATTTCCAACTCAAACAAGGCCGAAAGGCGAAGTGATCTGAAAGGGTGAAGCGTGCTTGAACCGGCCAGCCAGAAAGCTGTTTTAACTGAAATATTAATATTTTGAGACATTCTAACTTGCTAATCAAAAACAGTGACGAATCACGGACCTCTTGTTAATATCGTACATTAGTAATGCACGTTGAGCCCAGCAGAGGCCGACTTCTTCATAACAAATGACCTCAGGTTCCCTGATGAGGAGGCGCGCGGAGCCAGCTGTGAGGTGACGACAGCACAGCAGCAGCTGCTTTCACATCAGAACAACACACCGGAAACTCCGAAGATGTTCTTCAACACAGACTCTTTTGGGGATATTAAGATATTCATGTTAACCAAAAAAAAAAAATGATATAAATAATAAATAATATAATAATACTAAAAATAATGACGACGAGTTAAAGTTTAGCATGCTTATTATAATTATAGTTATATATATATATAGTTTTCCCGCCATTTAATCGATTATATTATATTTTTTTCTGAATTCACATTATTCGTATTGCCATCACTTTTACCGTCCTTTGTTCGTATTTTTTTTAAAATTTCTTTAAAAAAAATTAATTAATTGCCCGTTGCACCCTTTTTTAGTGTGAGCCTTGGGCGCACTTTATTTTGGCATTAACGAGCCGTGCCGTGCCGGGCCGTGCCGGGGAGCCGGGGACCACCTTTCCGGTCTGACTGCGCCGTTGCAGGTCCCTCCCTCCTTCTTGTCAGCGGTTCAAACTTGAAGTCAAACCCGATCGAACTTGAATCAACTCCTTCGGTCTTCTCGCGGGGACCTTTTTTGTGTCGTTGTTGTTTTTGTGTCGTTGTTGTTGTTTTGGCAGGAATGTGCTGAAGCTCGCGAGCTTCCTGTCCTCTTCTGCACTTTCGGTCTCCGCTTCTTCAGTTGCGAAAAGCCGCGGGAGGAAATGTCCAGTTGAGGATCGGGAAAACGCTCGCGAACCGCAGGCCCTGGTGTTTGTAATGATTGATCAAGGCCTCGATAATGGCGCTGAAGGTAAGTCCCCCTGCGCTTTTTTGCGCTGTTCTTTAGCGTCAAACGGGCTGTATCCCCCCCACTGATCCCTGACAGCTGGATGTTTTGGACTATTAACGCGGTCACAGTTGTAGTGTCTCGTATTCGCTTCTCGGGGCGCAGTTCACTCGGTGCGCTACATTTTACAACTAGAAAACTGTTTAATAATCAGCTTGAGAAGCGTCGAACGGGCGCTTACTACACATTTGTTTTGCGGCGAATTAGTTTCCCTGCTTAACACGGAAAATGTGGCTCATTAAAGAAAGTGTCTTGTGACATTTTACTACCTTTTCCACTGCGGGTCATTTCTGCCCCGCGGAATGCTGGGAAATGTAGTCTTTAGCGTGTGTGCACGGCGGGGAGCGTTCCGTAAAGTACGTATAGGATTGATTTTTACATGTTTAACATCTGATACAATGAGTAAAGTAAAATGTTTTGAATTATGATATATTTGTTAGAGTTACGGTTTGTATTGATCGTAAGTTTAATGTCTGTATGAGTTTTACTAATCTAATAACAGGAAATGAGTGGGTGGGTTTTAAGCTAATTTTCATTACAATCCTGTTCGTGGTACTAGATTCCCATCCTTGAAAGTTAAACATCCCCTCCAAACAACAATTACAGAAATAGTATAAGCATCTAGTCTCCAGAATTTATGGATACGCAAATAATATGCCGATGCTTGTAAAACCTGTTTTTTCCAGGGAAAAACTGTCAAAGGTCAAACTTGCATGTTTATTTTTTTTTAAATAACATAGCAATCCACATCATGCGATCAAGCTTGGAGGCTCATCTTTTACCCAAGAAGACTAAACAGAAACAAAGCGCTTTGAATACAAATGATAACTGAGACTTCTGTAGCTCCTGTTCCAAAACATTATCCAGCTTCATCGAGTCCTTGAAGGTGGCTGGCTGACTCCAACATAGCTCTCTGATTAAATAGCCTTCGGGTTACAGCTCACTAGTTGATGAACACGTCAGCTAGATGCTCTGTGAAGGTGATGCTGTTTTTAACAGCACGTGACACGTTGACTTTGGAACTGACAATCCAAGTGAATTTGCATGTTCAAACATATGAAAATAAACAAGGTCTGAAGTCATTTCGAATATGTTTTCACACTATTGCTCACCTGTGGCACCCACCTGCTGCTGTGACATGTGTGCCGACCTGTAGATGTGGGTCAGTGTGAGAAGACCGGTCACCTGATGGGGCTGGCCATGTTTTCGGTTGATACTAGCGACTGATTAAAAGTCAGCGCAACGTGCGCAGAAGAACCAGTCGGGCCTGTTTCACCACATCCTAATTTAAGTCCACAAAGAGTCATGATCCTGAGGGCAATATTGGGTGCGTTGGTATAAGAGCGTAGATACACAGATGTGTGTTCATTCGATGTTCCTCAAACACAAAGTGAATCGTGTGTGTTCTTTCTTGACTGTTTTTAGGCACACGCTTTATATGACTTCCTCGCCGAGGCTGGAAACAACGAGTTGTCAGTGAAAGAAGGAGAGACACTCACTATCACCAATCGGGTAAATATTTACCATACAAATGTATTTGTGTGTGTGTGTGTGTATAATATATATATATATATATATATATATATCCCCTGCACAAGGGTGCAGAAACCCACTGCTGCATTTAGTTGTCTTCATCGTTTTGACGCGTGTGTGTTTTTTTTTTGGAAAATTGGTTTTGGATCAATGTAGTTTTTCTTTGTTTGTCACACTGATGGAAGGAAAATCAGAAATGTCCTTTTTGAAGTACTGATATCATCTGCCATAGCACTTGCGGATCTTACAGCTGTAATAAAAAAAAAAAAAAAGAAAATCCTCTACGATTCCTATCTCAAACCCACAGACTTATACAGGCCCAACTCACGTGATCCCAGGCTGAGCACAAACAAGGAGCGTCCCAAACGCACACAGGGGAAGGGAAAAGCGTAAACATGAGGTCATTACAGCCACTCGACAACAGTTCAAAGGTCACTTGCTGTGTGCTGAGCTTCAAAATCGGTTTCATAGCGATCAGGAACTAATATGTTTTCTTCTCTAAATAAACTGACTGTGGAGGAATTTCTCCCGGGAACTTTCGGTGTGTTTACAGATTCTTGGGAAATCTGGTTTTTGTCCCCTACGTGAATTACACAGAGCGAACGTTACACAGCGACATGTTTTAATACGTATTGCTGCAGCAGCAGCGTTCAAGGTAACCTCACAACTTCCAGCATTGTGTCCTTGCATAGAAAAGGCTCCAAATAAAATGCCGTAGAAGCAGAAATCCTGTAATGTGGCGGTTATTGTGCAGCGATGCTCTTCATCACATCCTCTGACTTCCTTTTTTGGGAAGTGGGGCTTCTCCCCTCTGCGGGCTTGTTCATGGCGGTCGGCAGTTTACGCCGCCCGTGCTAACATTTCGTGTTTCGGTCTGACTCCATTCCAGAGTATCGGAGGCGGCTGGATCGAAGCACAGAACTCCAGAGGTGACGTTGGACTGGTGCCAGAAGACTACATCGAGGTAAGAAACGGCCTCCTGGTCTCTGCGATTGATGAGAATGTGAATCTGCCATTGAGCAAAGTTGTACCATTTCAACCTGTCAAGACTTCTATCTGTTAGACATGTTTAAAGTGGAGGATCGCCTTCCTCTTTGACTGCTTACTGAAATCACAACAGGATGTGCCTTCTCCAGAGTTTTGCTGATTAGGGTGTTTGTGCGCGTGCATGTGCGTGTGCGTGCACAGTTGCTCTGACCTCATCTTGACTCCCTCTGAAGACACGGGGGGAGGTTTGATTGGAAGTGAGCTTTCTGGAGTCTGTGAACAGCTCGGGCTCACTCCAAACCAGCACCTCTGCAACATCTGACAAAGCAGTGTCTGTGCAGCTGCACGAGAGCGATTGATACCATCCGTCCGCCTTGCAGACACGCTCACATGGACGCGTTTGTCTGACCTAACGTTACCTCCACAGCTGCCCCGAGACTGTTTAGATTGTTTTCCAAATAATATTGGGGGGGGGACAAAAACAGTTGACGATTGCCCTTACGTAACATCTAATGAAAAACATCAGGACACATTTCTCAATAAACCGCTGTCTGTTTCCGTGCACGCTACTGGCAAAAGGAACTACAGAAATAGCCAGAAGAATTGACTAGTGTTTTCATTATGACCAGTTGATGTTGTCACACTTTGGACACACTGAGAAATGAACGCTGATCACAGAAGAATGTGTCTGTAAAAGTCATTAAATCATTCTGGAATCTCTGCAGCTGTAATGGGACCGTGTTTTTCTTTTTATCTTTTCATCTGTAGTTTGGAAAGCAGTTGCCATCGTTCCCGGGAGCTGCAGCCCCTCCTCCAAGTGTAGGAAATGTTGCCTCTCCAGACTTGTCCATCTTTGATTCCTATGCTCCTGCAGCGTCTGCGCCTGCACAATACCAGGTAATGCTCCCACCTGATGCATTTTTTCTTTTTCTTTTTTGGCTACACGCTGGCAGAAAGTCTGAGTCGTAGGGGAACTTACAACCTAAACCGCTCTAAATTCAGCAGCTTAAACCCGCGCTGGAGGAGTGAGCGTGGGCGTAAACCTACAAAGTTCTCACAGTGAGAGTACTATGATCCTGTTGATCCACTCTGAAAGTACGTGTGATGGGCTGATGTAGAATGAAAAATCAGAAAGCAGAAGTGAGTGATGACAGAATCTCGTTGAGGACCCCCGTAGCCTGCGTGATCCCTGCAGATGCAGAAGTGAGAGCGGCTGCCGAGGAAGATATAAGCTGTGGTCCGACTCCAGTCAGATAGAACCAAGAGGAAACCCACTCGGGGAAATTGTTTGTATTTGCCAGGCAGGAAGTGCCAGCATACTGCTGGATCAGTAGAATTTTGGGCACGGTTGGTGGTTGAGTCCAAGCAGGAAATGTGTCAGCCATTATCCCTCATGCTCCATCCCCCCCCCCCCCCCTCCTCTCTCTCTCGCCTTCTTTTTTTCACCCACTCACACAAACGCCATTCACATCCAGCATCGCTTTAACCCATCCCATGCTGTGAGTGTAAGCCTCCCCTGGTGGCGCTTTGTGATGATGTCACCTTCTTCTCCCTTCAAGGTGGATGCTGGGGCCTTAAGTCCCCAGCCAGGCACCCCCGACACCCCAGTTTCCCCCTACCTTTCGTCCCCCGATGAGGTAACCGCCACGTAGGGGTGGCGGATGAGACCAAGTCCTGCTCCCTCCCTCTCAGATTGGTCTGCGTTGGCAAATCCCCCCCCCCCCCTCCCACACCTAATCCTAGTGCCTGCAAAGAGCATGATCTCACCGTCTCCTTGCACATTGCACTCTTACGTCACCAATCGACTCTCACACCTTTTAATCTCAGTTGTATCAATCAGCACTACGAACGGAACCGTAAGAGCTCGAAGATCACGCACATAATTGACCCGCGGTGACGCTGATAAATCATCGGACCAGTGCACAAACCGCTACTCCAAGACGATCAGAACCTCGTTAATGATTCCGCCATATTGACAACTGTATAGAATGTTCTTGATTTCTCTACAGTGAAGGCGATGCTAAAATTGGGGGGGAAATGATGTCGTTGCCGAGTTTTAGTCCTCGTTGCACCGCGGAGCTTTTTGTCATGGCAGCAATTGTTCCGTATGTTCCTGGCTAAGCGATCGTCTAAAGTGATGATTAGCATCAGGCTCACTGCAACCTACATGAAGCACACACTCGATGGCATGTTGTAGTGTGTAGTTGGAGTATGTTGGCACTGCAAACACAGCATGCAGTTGTATTTTTAATTTGGAAGTACTGTAGAAGTAGTTGTGTGTATGGATGGACATGAGGATGGTATTGTTTTTGGGTGAGTGCTTATATCCATAATGGAGGCAAGTGTTTTCAAATAGGCAGCATTTTGTATTTTTATATTTCTAGTCCCTGCATGTGTTCAGCAGCATTTACAAACTACACTCCTCACAAATCCCCTGAGGTCAGCATCCTGGGTTTGAAAACGCATGTTGCTCATCAATCAGACTGGACTGGACTCCCCACACTTCACCTGTCCTCCTTTTTTCGTTCCCTCACGTTTCCACTCTCCCGTTTGCTGCAGGCCAGTAACGGTAACGACCCCTGGTCCGTGTGGAACTCGGACCCATCGGGGGGCTCCAACAATAACTGGGCGTCCAATCCGGAGGGAACCCAGACTGGGAGCGCCGCGTCCCAGGGCCACCCTCAGGCTTACCAGGGTCCAGGTAAGAACGGCTCCTCCGTGGTGGCCTATGCCTCATATTAGTCCGTCTAGGGGCTTCTGCTTTCTCTTCGAGTTGTTATGCGTCTTCCGTCAAACCTTCAGCAGGGTATTTTTAAGTATCTTAGTATCTAAATCCTCAAAACAGCGGTTACACTCTACATCGTGATGACATCCAGGCACTGCTTAGTGTTTGCAAACATTTTGCTTTTAAACTGTGATCCTTGGGACAAGATAGAATATAAACCTGCAGTGGATGATGTTTGCGAAGCTGTGCAGGCTTGCACTTAATTTCAGCAAACAAGCAAAGACACCACCAATAATAATAATAAGCAAGCGCTTGGAACGTCGTGCTGCAACACAGTTAGTAGCAGATGGGGTTTGCGACATAGAAGAATCAGAGAGAGACAAATGTTTATTCTCAGCACAGAGTACCATTTCCTGACCTGATACCAAGGGAAATGCCTCCAGTATAGACCGCCCCCCCCTGTTTGGAGCTCCAGGTTGTCTGTCCAGTTCTTTAAAGATTTGCAGGCGACTCCCAGATGTGGCTCAGTGTTCTTTCTCTGGCCAGTCCCTCCACGGAGACGGGACAATCGAGTCATGAATCCGTCTTTAGCAGACTGGAAAACTTCACTCATGAGTCAGAAGGACAAATTACTTCTTAACTCTCCAGTTGTTATTGTAAAAATAGACCTAGAGAAATGAACGGCACGGAGAAGAATTAACAGACTTTTCCTTTCTTTCCCTCCTCCCAAAGACATCTACCCGTATCCTTACCTTATCGATTACACAGGTATCTCACGCGTTTGCCCGGTTTCCTAAGTTTTGTGTGTGTGTGTGGACGGACTGCCAATAAGTACCACCAAATGGCTTTATGAAATGACGTAATGTCTGGAAAGCATGTGTGTGTGTGCGCAGCCAAATTCTTAATCTTAATATTAAAGCACTTCTCTATATAACAATGTAACACTATTAACTTGTGATGTGCCAGATGTGGCGGGCTTAGGTTCGACCTCCGATACGCGCAGCTTTATTTATGAAATTATTCACTAAATGGTTTGTACCTCTCTGCTGGGAAACAGTCAGTGCCAGGGGAGCTATTTGTTTACCCACAGCTTTCTCTATTTCTATTTTTGCAATAGGGGAAGTCAAAAGGTCATCTGATCCCTCCCAATTACTGGTATGTCTAGTGTCTCTAGGCCTGTTCTAATTTGGTCTTTGTCAGCAGCTGGGGGTCGACTATACAGGTTTAGTTTGTTGGCTTTGGGTCCCACCTCGTAGGTTCTATGTTGCCTCTAATTTCTATGATTTTTGGTAGCAGAATGGAGTCGCAGGTATTTTTATGTTGTCGTTTGAGCAGTTTTTCCTTTTTCCATCTTAAATGTTTCTCTCTTGATAGCTGCCGTTTTTGCAATTACTTTTCCTCTCATAACTCCTTCTGGGCTTTTTAGAGCAGATGTAATCATTTTTAAATTCAAATTATTTAATTTTTTTTAAGATACAAATTGAGAACTGGTTCTCATTTAGCACCACGTTCTAATTGTTGGCTGTATATTTATCTTAGCTGTACTTAAAGATGCAAGAAATTAATTATTTAAATGTGTTTATTGAATACTTTTTACCAAACGTACCTGAATCAAAGTGTAATGTTTGCTACTCATTTGTTTTAAATAAGGGTGGAAATGTTGTGCGCGTGCTAATAAGTTTGATGGCGGTCCGTGTTGCAGAAATGAAGTTTCCCTGATCACTAATAAGCGCCTGCTGCATGCTCTCAAACTTATTACGTTAACAGATCCCACCATTACATGTACTTAAAGCCATCATTTTTAGACTCTTGATGCAACATGTAGTTGTCTGCCTGTCCACCACAACAGTGATCCATGATGGAAACAATTAAGAATCTGTTTGATCACAGCAGGTTATCCTTTTAATGTCCCTCCATGCTGTTCATTGATAAAATGGAGCAGAAGCTGCTTTAGTGTCATTTAATGTTCTGCAGGAGCTTTTTTCAGCTCCCGCACAATCACACACTTCACAGCAGGCTGCTGAACACGGGAAGTGTTCTTTCTCCGCGCATTAAAACCCAGCCGCGTGTGCATGTATCTGCTCCCAGGAGCCGATTGTGACGAGTGGGATGACGAGTGGGACGATTCCACTGGAGGTTACCCCGAGTCGGAGTCCGGCGAGGGCGGCGCCATGCAGAGGGGAGGAGCTCATGCGCCGTCAATGAAAATCTCCCTCAACAAGTACGACTTAATAGAGCAGGAGGTTTGAGTTCAGCGGAACAGTGTGGCTGGTTCTAATATCTAATGCAAACCTCTCTTTGAGCAGGTTTCCTGGGTTCTCCAAGCCTGGTCCAGAGCTCTACCTCTTATGCAAGCAGCCCGCTAAGGGCAAAGAGAAGCTCACCATCTACGTAGGTCCCATCTAAATATCCATACAAATATGTTGTATGCCATAAATTGCTGATTAGCAGGTTCTTAAAACGTGTGTTGAATGCTCAGATGGGAGAAGTTGGCCCGGTGTGGTCTTACCCAGAAACTCAGCTCGACTGCGTGGTGGCTGATCCCAAGAAGGGCTCAAAGCTGTACGGCCTCAAGAGCTACATCGAGTACCAAATCACACCCAACGTAAGTGTCTGAATCCTTTCCGTGTCCTATTCAGTAAAAATGAGTATGATAGAATGAGGTGCTAAACCAAACCTGCGGTCCTTCGCAGACCACCAACCGACCGGTCAACCACCGATACAAGCACTTTGATTGGCTGTATGAGAGGCTCCTCGACAAGTTCGGGTCGGCCATCCCCATCCCGTCTTTACCAGACAAGCAGGTGACAGGTCAGTTTGACCGACAAGCAAGAAGAGATGAACGTCGCTGAAGGTGCCATGAAATACAGAATACTTTTGTGTTGCAGGGCGATTTGAGGAGGAGTTCATTAAGATGCGGATGGAGCGGTTGCAGGGCTGGATGACCAGGATGTGCAGACACCCCATCGTTTCCTGCAGCGACGTATTCCAGATCTTCCTCAGCTACAAGGATGAGAAGGTGGGCCATTGCCCCTCCGCTTACCCTCTAAAGGATTCAAACGTATTTTACTACAATTACTTGTACTGCTTGATTTAAAATGAGTAATTGGTACAGGACTGGAAGACGGGAAAGAGAAAGGCAGAGAAGGACGAGACCGTGGGCGTGATGATCTTCACCACAATAGAGCCTGAAGCTGCGGACCTGGATCCCGTGGAAGTGTGAGTTTCATCCGACTTTACCCTCAAGCACTGCAAAAGACGTGTGTCTTTTAAAACAATTCCTCCCGTCCCCCCCTCCCCCCAGCGAGCAGAAATGTGAGCAGTTCAGCAGGTTCACCAAAGCCATGGACGACGGCGTGAAGGAAATCCTCACAGTGGGCAACGAGCACTGGAAGAGATGCACAGGCCGTACGTACACACGGGAAGCTACACACGCATGTTTTACCACACGCACGCTGCACCCTCCGTCTCTGAACTGTAATCACTGTTTAGATTAATGCGCGGTTCGTGTTTTGTCAACTGAAGACGGATCCATTCACACAGCGTGCGCCGGTCTTCACGTTCCGTCTCTTTCCCCTCCGCAGCGCTGCCGAAGGAGTACCAGAGGATCGGCAAAGCCTTCCAGAACCTCTCCTCTGTCTTCAACAGCAGCGGATACCAAGGTGCAATTGCGGCTTTCGGTGACACCTTCCACGCGGAAGTCTGTTCCTCAACAAGTTGGCACAAGTCGGATGCTGTTATGAAACGGTGGTGACATATTTGAACCCCTTACAGGCGAGTCCACCCTGACGGATGCCATGACGGCAGCAGGCAAGACGTATGAGGAAATCGCTCAGATGGTGGCCGAGCAGGTAGGTGCTGCTCTTTACAAATCCTTTGTGTACGTCATGTGTTTTTTTTTTTATTTATTGTCAAAGGACCTTTTCTTCTCTTCTCCTTTCCTGCCTTGACATGAAATGAAGAAGTGTTTATCACTTGTATGGCAGCGGAGCAAAACTAAAAGGTCTTCGTCTCCTCAAAAGTCGCAGAGTTTATTTTGGACCTTTTTTATCTACCACATTGTTCAGTGTTCACTCTCTCGATAGTCGTTCAATCTCTACGGACATCCTGGTTGGCTAATGACCCCTTTAACCTGACGTCCTCCCTGCCGTGTCTGTCTCTCTAAAGGACAACTTATGTCTAGTGTTTCCCAACTGTTGTTTTCGTCCTTCTACTTGTGGCTTCTCTGACTGCTGATTTCGGTGTTTCGGTGTGTAATAAAATCAAACTTGGGCCTTTTTTGATATCCATGCAGCTTCCAGAGGGAGGATTCATGTGGTAAGCAATTGACTGTGGAATTGTTTCCCTTTGCTTTAGCTGCGCCTGTCATGACGTTTGCAGGGAAGCAGCGACGCGTCTTCAACGCTTATGTTACATTTTTCTTTCCTTTGTCTTTTTTGCCTCCATCAGTTGACCTTTGCTCCCTTTTACAGCCCAAGAAAGACCTCCACTTTGTCATGGAGACCAACAATGAATATAAGGGTCTCCTCGGATGCTTCCCTGACACCATTGGAGTCCATAAGGTACAACTGGAATAGTTACAAACGTGTTTATTGGTTTCATTTATAGACTCTGAACTTGTTTTCATGGCTTTTAGTGTTTTTGACAAAGTAGAGAAACTGGTTGAACACATCACCTCTGAAACCATCTTGTCTTTTCTCCCGCAGGCGGCCATAGAGAAGGTGAAGGAGGGAGACAAGCTTGTGGCTGCCGGTAAAATTTCCACTCATGACAAAGTCACGATGGCTAAACGCGTCAGCACGATGTCGTACTCATTACAAGGTGACACACGCTCAGAAACATTGAAGCGGTGCAGTTTAATTGTATCACGACATTTGATTTTCGGTTCTCCCCCCGCTTGTGTCCCACAGCTGAGATGAACCACTTCCATAGCAACCGTATCTACGACTACAACAGGGTCATGCAGTTGTACTTGGAAGAGCAGGTTAAATTTTACGAGACGGTAAAGTATTTTTTTTATTTTTATCGACCATTCATCAGAGTAAAGGGGAGTCTAACTGTGTGTCCCTTTTTGTTGCCTTCTTACCTGTGGAGCCGTTACGTGAGTGCTCAGCGGCCTCTGAAGCCAGTTTTTCTTCTTTTCAATCTACAGATTGCTGCAAAGCTGCGACAAGCACACAGTCAGTTCACTACTATGTGAGAGCAACGATGTCAAGTAGGAGACGAGAAACCAGATTTAACATCCGAATTATTCTTCCTTTACACCGCGATATTTTCCCTCCCTTTAAATAATTTAAACATTACATCGCGCTTTCATTCGCTCTGGCCTTCCATCTCTTCCAACAGTACCGGCTCACAGCGTTTCTTTGGTCCAGTTGATGAACATGTTCACCAGCTGAAAGCTCGCGTGTCACACCCTCCCTTTCCTGCGAGACAGGAAGTTGAAACCACGAATGGCACATTACATTTGAGTTCCTCTAACGTGATGCATGTAAAGAAGAGTTTTTTACACATGCTGCAGACACCGTGACGTTGTGATGGAGTTACACTAAAAAACCCAAAGCTGCCCCCGCCCTCCACCCCCCCATCTGTCTGAGCTTTATTTCCTATTCCTCAGCCAATATTTGAATTTTCTTTCCGCCTCTCATAAGTTAACATTTCAGAGGGTCCTAACACATTTTGTTAAGGCAGTGCATTTCTTTTAAGGACCCATGGAGTCATGAAAGAGCTGTCAAAGACGGTGTGTGTCCTCTGTATGTCCACTAGTGGCAGTCCAGAGCCGCTTTTCCTCCCGAACTTCCTCAAAGAGCTGACAGGAAACTAGAAATGGTTGACTTAGCTGTCCCCAGGGCTGCGGACCACGACACTGCAGTTTACGTAGTGCCAGAAAGTGGCGAAAAGGCTACCCATGTAGGGGTCGATTCTTTTACGCGTTGCACCGTAAAGGCAGAAGTCAGTGGTTTTGATGCATTCCTTCCTCTCCCACACAGCTCTCCTGAAGAATATTTGTCCTTTTCTTTTTGACCAGATTACGGTGTTTTATATGAAGACAGAGGCTCACGTCATGTGTGCAGTTTGCTTTTTACCACCTAGATTTCCAAATTGTCTCTAATCTTGTTCACTCTGTTTTCTTATCACTTAATACATAGAATATATATATATCTATCTATATGTTTATTTTCCATCAGGTGTTTCTTGTCTTTGAGATACTATTTTATGTATAGTAGTATATGAGATGCAGTGTAACTCAAAGAGAAGCAAAAATCCAGTTTGATTTATTAAACAATGATTTTTACTCATTGGCAGTTTGTTTCTTTATATGTGTGTGTGTGTGATTGTGTGATTTCTTTGGAAAACACACAATCTGGTTCTGCACATCGCTCAGATTGCAACACACTACGCTCTCTGACTCACTCACAGTAAAGCCCTTATTCGCTGCTGCAGATCCTCGGGTAGCGATGCATGGGAATGAGTCGGCGGCCTGTGCCAATGGTCAAAGAGTGTTTTTGTGCAGTTCGTAGTAGAGGAAGTGAAAGGGCCCTTTTACACCATATATTCAGATCGGGGCCACCATCAGGTGCAGCTGGATGTGGAGGCGATAAAAGACATTCTAATACATGTCTAGTGTAGTTTTAAGGGTTCGTTGGAGCTCGGAGCAGTCATTTTAGTAGTTTAATGTTTATTGTACAATCCATACAGAACGTATACACAGTCTTCATATAGCACATCTCGCTCCTCGCCCTGTAATGTGAGACTGTAGCGCTCATCAATGGGATATTATCTAACATAATAGTGTTCTGAATAAAACCTTTTTAATTTCAACAAAGATTTTACACAATGGATTAATCTCTAATCCAAAATGAATGACATTGGGTTATAGTGAAATTATAAATATGCAATAAGCAAACACCAAATGCAGATGAATCATTAAATAGTTTCGTGTGATCTTCCTGCCAGTTGCAAATGCCTTCTGGGAGCCGCTTAACTACTATGTCAACACTTCAAAACAAATGTCGGATTGCTAATAGGGTGTTAGCGTATAAAGCTAAAAGTACAAAACGGAGGTAAAAAAAAATGGAACAGCTTTCTTCCCTTGTGGTGGAGTGAAAAATGAACTTCGTCGGAACGTCGAGCATGCCGGTCATATCTGCACGCACAGAGGTTCAGAAATACCAGGGGCGAGGTCGTCGTTGACATTAAGCGGCGTTCAGTTCCTCCTCCGTGACCTCGGGCAACAAAAAAACACGCTGCATGTCGTCATGACTACGGTGTCCCCACCAGAGATCCCCCCCCCCCCCACCACCACCACGGCGTCATGGCGACAAATGGCTTCGAAACGAGCGCGGTCGGATCATCATGCTGACCTTGCGAAGGGAGTAGTAGTCCGAGTCCCTCCACGAGTACCAAACGATCCCGTCGGGGCCCAGCGGCCCCCGGCCTTTGGGGGTGTAACGGCCTCCCTGCGGGGTCATTGAACAGAGGTCGTGAACGCCATCTTGAATCTCAGAAGCATCGCGGCTCGAGGCCGCCCGGTGTGCACTCACCCTGTAGTAGACGCCGTTGAGGTTGGCGTAGAAGCACTGGTTGTACCACCATCCGCCGTGGGAGATCTCAGCGCAGATGTTGCCGCTGTCCGGCGTGCTGAAGCCCTGCTTGTCGTGGTACCAGCTGAACGAGTCCTTCGCCGTCCCGCTGAAGCCGGACACGCGGAGACGGTACCGGTGCTCCTCGTCGCCCACGCTGCAAACACACAAACACAAGCAGAAGAACACCGGGTGAAGATTGTTGCGCGTGTTTCGCGACGACACACACACACACAGGTTCGCAGGCGTGACCCCCGACCTAAAGCTCTGGTAGAGGGCGTGTTTGTGCACGTTGCTCCAGTCCTCCAGGTCGACGCGGAGGCTGTAGTCTCCCTGGGTGCTCAGGACGTGGATGTGATTGTTGCCCAACCAGAACTCGGAGTGCAGGTCCCCAAACCCGTCCCTGTAGTCCCTCCAGCTGCGGTCGAAGCTCAAGGAGCCGTCGGCGCGCCGCTGGATCACAGTCCAGCCTCCGCCTGAGGCCAAAAGAAGGTTTGTCAGTGAGGGGAGATCACAGGAGCAACCCCCGGGAACTCGAGGAAAACGTCTAGGCCTGCCCTTCTGACCTCGTGCATGCTACTGACCATCCGTGTCCATGTCACAGTAGACCTCCACTGGCACGCCGGCACGCGACGGCACCACCGTGTAGAGACCTGACCTCCTCACTCCGTTGTAGTAGATGGAGGCGCAGTCTATGGGACAGTTCCTCACACTATCTGAGGGAGGGAAAAGGCGAGACAGGAGTCGAGGAGGAGTGAAATCCATAAAGGTGGGCTTTGCGCCCTCTGCTGGCGGACAGTGGCACACAGGTTGGAGAACGTACCTGAGCGCAGAGCTTCTTGGGCGCTCATCAACGGGTTGGGACGGGGGACGTTGACCAAGCACCCGGGGCTTTTTTTTACATCATCCACCAAAACAGTCAGATTATGGAGGTGGTTCTAAACAGAAATGCAGTGAAATGGCGAAACTGTAAAGAAAATGTCACCTGAGAGGGAAACGGCACAATGCACATGATAGGTTTACCTGGAGGTCAAGAATCAGGGTACTCTGAAGGTGCAGCAGGGTGGTGGCTTCAGCGTAGTGATGCTCCAGCTCATGCAAACGCTGCTCCAAAGAGGTATTTAAGTGGTTCCTCTCTTCACTCTGACACCGTAAATCACACACGCATGCTCACAAACAAGATCGTAGGCGATAACTGTATTCTGTGAAAGAAATCATTTATAATTATACATTTTTTCTTCTTCTTAGCAGCCACTGGGGAGCTCCAAAAGGGACCAGCCCTCTCTCATAAACCCTCTCTATTCCTAGCCTGAAGATAGAGGATAACGCTAACTCCCATTACCACCAGCCCTGGTGCCAAGTCCCCGGCCCTCTTCCCATGTACGACACATGGAACCCTCTCCGACATCCACCTTTGGCAGCCGACCCGTCCAGCTGAACGTTTGTATAGGCTCACTGCCTGAGACGCATGAGGCAGCACGTGGAAGAGTAGGAGGCTAATCCTGTTAGCGACTAAGGTCAAGGACATGTTGCGGGCAGGGGGAGGGGGCAGCTTGATGACCAGACGCTACAGTCCAGAACTGCACTCAACTAATGTGTTTCCTGTATGAAAATGTGGCACAGGCAAGTGTTTTTTTTAATTTATTTTACCCGAGACGCACCGAACAATCTGTATTCAGAGAACACGAAACACAAACTGGGAATGTCCATTCCTTCCTTTCAAGTGAGTAGGGAATAGGAACGTCTTTCTTTCATCCAATAATCATGTCTTGTCTATGTCTGAATTGCCTTTCAACTCTGACAGAGCAAATACAGAAAAGTATGTAATAACTAACAAGACTCTGGCGCTGAAAAGCCAAATTGAATGTGACCCTCACACACGTGCGTAAGAAAGGGATAAGTTCACTTTTCCCGATGAGCACAAAGTCCTGCCACCTGTCGGGTCTGTAAAAAGGAGCAGACACATCCGCTGAGCTGCAGGTGGACTAAAGCGAGCCCTCAAAGCGGTTGAAAGGATTGGTGCCGATAGTTGACCCCTGCTCAGCTAAGTCAATATGGAGATCTCACCTGCAGCTCGAGGACATGGATGCGGTGCCGGTGGTTCCTCAGCTCCCTCTGCAGCCCGGAGATGATCTCCTTCAGCGCCGCGATCTGCTGCTTCCTCGCCTCGTTCTGGTGCAGCCAGTAAGAAACGTCGTCCGTGCAGCGAAACATATCGGGGCATTTCTGCTCGTCCAGCTGAGGCAGTGTGGCCACCAGCCGACACATCCCGTCCTCCATCACCTGTTGGGGGACGGACAACTCATATCGGTTAATAAATAATACGACTCCTGCTCCTGTGCTGATGCAATCATGACATGTTATCACAGTGTATCTTTACTGTTTGTTCTGTGATAGATTTCCATCTGATAATATGTATATCTCATATATAGGTGTATATATAAGGGCTTTTTAGGGCAAAAAAAAGCTTCATTTTAAGTTGTTGTCACTAAAATGTGATTTTTCAGAAATTATATTGCATATAAATGACAAGCCCCTTTCTACAATATTAACACAGATGAGGTATCTAAAGACATCCATCCGAACGGCAAACCTTTATTTTATTCACACTTGAAATATAAACCCCAAACAGTGAAATATACGTATTTCTGGCAGAGAACGATATTCAAACAGGCCCAGCTCAGTGAGTACCTGGTTGGTGTACCCCCCGCACTGGGACCCCCCGCCGTTGCGCTGAGCGGCGGTGGTGGTGGTGGGGGTCAGGTCGTCTGCTTTGGCCTCCGGGAGCAACACGATGAGGATGCACAGAGCAGAGCAGGCGCCCCAGCCGGGGGGGTTGTTCAAGGACAGTAGAGACATCGCTGCCGCCTCCGGTTAGTCCGTCCCTGCCTTGTCAGAGTAAGCGAGGACGAGACACAGGAGTGCGTGCTTCACCATGTGAGGCTCTGCTGGCTCCCCCTTCAGGGGAGAGACACCGAGAGAGTCAGTGTTTTCATCCTCCCACGGAAGAGAGACGTCTTAATTCACTGAGCCAGACGAGACGCATTTCCACGCAGAGAGTTACACACATTCGTGTCACTGATAGGACGTGAGATTAAGTTAAAAGGAAGGTCATCTCCCACATTACGGCAGAAGGTCCTCGGGTAACTCACTAAACACACAGAACTTAACGGTGTGTAACAGTAGATGTGTCGTCACTTTTTAAATCTTGCTCAATGACCCAAACACGCACAGACGTATCATGAAAAATGCAGCATGCACTTAACTGTCTCTCTTGGAGGAGATGTAGTAAATGGTTACGTACTCACCCTTGTTACAGACCCCCCACTACCCCATTTCGGACCCATTTCAGGCCGAGGGGTTGTCTCCATTTTCTTCTTCTCTGTCCCTAAATGTCCTGTTGTGACGATGTGTCTCTCCCTCACTGCGCCTCATGCTGTCCTTCTCAGTGTACACACCCTAAAGCCGTAATCCACCTCTAAGAGGATTCACAACGACCAAGGGACGGAGGGAGGCAGATAAGTAGGCAATTGATAATAAATGGTCGGTCGGAGAGACGCAAGGGAAAAATGATACTTTCTCTTCTTTCTTAAAACAAACACAAATGAGCTTTACATGAAAAGCTTTGGCACTATGTTCTGTTTTGTATTTGATGGTTGCATAGGCCTTTTTTTTAAATCTCAATGAAAAATATTAAGAATAACATAATTGACTTGATAAAAGGTTGGAAGATTGCCAGGTTCAGAAAGAAAGGACTAGAGTGTCATCATAGCATTTGAATTGATTACACAAAGACGACATGCATCAGCAAAATGCCCGCACACATCAGCCCCTACAGTAAATAAGCATCACCTGCAGGCACAATAATCCTGCTCAAAGCCAGTCGTAATGAAGGCTGATGTGAACGGGAGCATCAGGGGTGCTGATCCTATTACAGCAGCCAAGCTGCTCTTTACATCTTTATACTCTCTGCTATGTGTCAGCATGCGCGCTCTCCCTTCCCTTAGAGTAAAAAACGAGCTGATGTGCCTTTTAGAAATTCCCCAAAATGCTTTTCCTCAACCAGCCTTCTGCACTGAGAATGCACATCAATTGTAAACATTTCCGGGGGGGCAACACTCGCGATCTCAAAGAGGCTTTGACCAAAAAAAATATAGAGCAGCCTGTTACTTTCTCACACAGAAGACAGAGCGGTGCTTCACCCGGGCCGATGCGTTGCTGTTATCTGCTGCATCTGAGAGACGCCTGCAAGGCCACAGGGAGGCACCATGTGACAGCTCCTTCCCTGCTCGCCCACAGGGAAGATGAGCGCAAGGGTTAACAGAATCACAAGAGGGGCTGCTGCTGATCTGTGACAGTTAAGACCGGGAGGTGTTCATGAAGTGATGAGCAGAGTGACTTAAAACGGGATCTCGGGAACCCGGTTCACAATTCCAGGTTGATGCGTAAAGTGTGAATGGTAAAGACATTGAAAGTCCTTTTTCCATCCAGCTCTCTGCTCCTGACTGACGACGCTGGGCGGCACGTCGACAGGCCAACGGCCCGCATCGCATGCCCCCATGCAGGGTGAAAGAACTGCAGCTGTTAGTTACTCTGGAGGCTCAGAGCAACACGGAACCTTCCTCTCACGCTAAATGTATAGGTTTATGTGCGTGCTCGTCGAAGAGAGAGATCACGAGGCCAGTGAAGTGTCTGATTCACGCAGCGTGCTACTCCTCCCATCTCACACAGCTTGCTCTGTGTGAGATGGAAGGAGTAGCTCACATCCGTCTCGCCGTGAACATTTAGAGCTCCGATGTCCAAAGCGACGGGAATATTAACTCTGTGGCAACAGAAAGACAAGCTTTCTTCACGCCGTGTGTTCACATATAGTCACTTGGGAGATGTTAGAAAAGATGATTAAATGAGCCGTAATGAATGCAGATGGTGGTTTGATTAGAAATAAGTGGATTACAGTGATGCTGGGTCTCAGTAACCCTTTTGTATTCTCGTCCGATGTCACAGACTAGCTCATCTGCACCAAATAAAGGAATGTCTTGGAGGAATAATGTTTTTTTTATCCACACAGTAGTTTCTTAAAGGCTAGAGAGCCGCTAAGTAATGCTGTTATTGCCTTTTGTGCTGGCTCGACACCTTTTATGTTTGGTTTCTCCTTCAATTTGTCACCCATCTCTATGTGTGTCTTCAAAAACGTCTTTATCTGGAGCCCGTTGCAAACAGTCCCACACCAATGCAAGGTTTATGTTGCCTGAAAGGAAAAGGAACGAGTCGAATATTCAAATTCCTCAATGATTTCCTGGAAAAAACAGGTAATGTGTTACTTATTAATTAGGAAAACAGGACATTTCTTGAAAATAGTTTGTGTGAAAGAAAGTAGACAGCACAAGTAAACAAATCTTACATTTTCTGCTGTGCACCAATTAAAGACTCGCAGTTCGTTGGAATCAATTCATTTCCTCATAAATTGGGAAAAGATCACGAGGGTCCAGGAAAGTTTTCATTCATCAAACCTCAAACACTTTTGCATTTGTGTGTGTGTGAAATCACAGCGAATCAGAACCATGACGCCTGCACCAAGATCATTAATCTAACAATGAAAACTTAGAGACGCCGTCATGTTCAAACTTGAACAATGGAGTGAGGCCTCAGAGCTGACAGGCTGACACTTTTTGAAGATTAAAACGAACCAAGTGTACCGACGTGACATTGAGAAAGAAACACTCGTAAGTACAGAGAGACACGGTGCTTTTTCATTTCAGACGCCTGTGTGATTCAAAAGTACAGAACATACGTTTATGTAACAGATTCACCTTCAGCTTCTAATCAGCAGCCAGGAAGACTTCCATCTAACAAGAACCCTCTTCAGCGGGTTTATTATGAGAGAACACCAGACAAATGATTAGAGAGGGATTCGCGGCCACGCACGCGTACTTCTCACTTTCCAATAAACCTGCGTTTCCAGAGCTGCTCTTGAAAATCGATCAAAACTCACATCATGTATTTGTGATGCGAGAGGCTCTGAGTGTCCGTCTCCATCGATAAGTCCATCAGTATGCAACGCCTGTCTGCACCACTCTGTGGACAGATGTTCATCTGGAGCACACACCATTCAGCAGTAACTCGCCGTGATGCAACCATATCCGTCAGATTTCAGGCTCCTCCAGAGTGTGTGTACACACACACACACACACACACACAAGTTCAACATCAATAGATGTCAAGGTCAATCTTAAAGATGAAGAGAGGCCACGTTTAATCTGTCCTTTTCATCGCGGTGCTCCCTCTGGTGTCGCGTATCAAGCGAACCTTATTACCCGCGTGCACCACGAAGGACACATGACCTGAGAGACGAACCAGACGGGATCCTGCGTTTGATGATAACTGCTTCGGACCGAGGTGGGGGGGGGGGTCACATAAGGCAAGCGGATGAGTCAGTGGGCCGATGCAACGTCTGCCTCTACCACTTCTGTGTTAGGGCGCCATTTTTGTTTCACAGACACGACACAGGGAGGAATCCGTAGAGAAATTCCAGTTTTCGACGCCACGTCGTCGGCCAATTCCACCTTGAATCATTTACTAGAAGAACCCGAGGCTTCACCTTCCTCAGCGAGAACTAATTACGTTCAACTTTCGAAAGTTCACCAACCCTCATTTAGCATGTCGGTGGCTCGTTGGCAGGTTGATCAAGCTCTTTGCCTGGGGGGTGAGGGGGGGGGTTATTGCAGCAGGGAAGAGTTAGTTAATGTCCTCTAATCTATTTATTGTACACATCCCAAGCAACAACCAGTTCAGCGGGTACGAAGGAATCGTCCTGCGTCCCGACCTTTGCTGAGTGGTCCGATATTAACTCGTTTTGAGCTCAGTTTGTTTCTTTGTTTCACTGTTTTCGCTCTCAACACACTGACGCATTGTTCTCCTGAGCTCAACCCGAACACATTGATCTATGGAAGCGTGTGTCAGCCGGACATGTCGGGGGTTGGAGCTGGTTGTGTTGTGCGTCGAGCGGACGGATGTGTCATGAACTGAGCTAAGATTCCTCTCGCTGCTTCCCCCGCTGCTCGTGTCTCCTGAGGACACAGCTGCCTCGACCTCTTCTTCACGGGACAGAAACAGCACTTCACACATAATGTGGTTCTCATCCGGAACCACCGGGAGACCACGGGGAGTGTGTGTGTGCGTGTGTGTGTGGAGGGGGGTAATACCAAGTATTACCTGGACGACGCTGTCTTCATTATAATGTTAACATTATCATCTTAACATTATTACTGTATATTATGGATTTATTTTAAAGAAAGAGATTATTAGAGAGATTTCAGTCCTGACATAATGTGTCCATGAGTGAGTAGTGAATAGACATGTCACATCTAACAACACCATCCCTGGAGTAAGAGACAGGACATCAAGTATATTAAATATTGTTTCCATTAAAATCCATGTTGTTTTTTAAAAAGAACTGACTGAACAATAGATAAAGATCATCAAACAGGACCGTACTATTTCATTTATCAAAGATGAAATAAAAGCTTTTTCAAAAAGAAAAATATTTCTCCGTACTAAAAAAAAAGGTCTTCCTTCAGCTCCCTGTTTGTTGTTCAGAAGGGATTTAGAGAACTCCAGACATGTCGACCTCTCAAACATTCAGTTATTCATTTAGTTAAATCTATTTCGTACCGCCCGAAATCACAAATGATAAATTTGCCTGTCGGCTTTACAATCCGCACACATGTGAAATCCCTTTTTCCAAAACCTCCACGACGGCACTGTGAGAACTCCCAGACAACCAGAGGTGCACCTCAACGGGAAGAAAAAGGAAGAAACCTTAAGGGAGAGCAGGGCAGAAGGGGGGAGGGATGAGGGAGATGTCCCTCAGCCCGATGAGTAATAGATCATCTGTACGAACAACAGAATATTTTACATTGAGGTCTACTTGACATAAAAAGATTACAAACAGAAAGGATGTTGGTACCAAAACAAAGATCGTAATCTATATTCTATATAACAAACTAATGAATGTAATTACAAAAAACGGCGCGCATGCACTACAATCAGAGCGTGGGTTCTGAGGAGCATAAAACACACCTTCTCTTATCTGTTTTTCAGATGTTTATCGGGAAATTGTTTTGGTTGAGCCGTGCGATTCTTATTCTTAAAAATAAAGTCAGTTTTGCAACTAACATTTTAGATATTTTTGTGCAACCAGCCTCGATAAGTTGTTTTCTTCTTCCTAGAGGGTTCTCTGCAAGGAGTGCAAATGAGAAGATAAACTATTCAACACATGGACAGATACCAGCAGCTCTGGGAGTCACACTGAGGAAAAAGTAAAAGCCCCACTGGACTTAGAAGGTTTCAATCCTTTAAATGTCTGTGGAAAATGTCATCACAATCCATTCAGAGGCTGAGGTTTCAGTCCCAGATGGACCTTCCTTCACCCGCGCGGCAAATAC